CATCTCTGTATCTCTACCACATCAATTACTTTGTCATCTTTAAGCAGAACAAGTTGTAGCATGTGTTTTCAACAACAAAGTAACCAAATGTAACCAAACGAAAAAGAGGGGAATAGAAAAAATAGCATCCCATAGGGTTCAATTACAGTATTTACGGAATGTCTACCCTGGATTGTTTTCTTTCTCTTTCTGCTTATAGCAGGAAATTATCGTCAACAAAGTAACCAAATTGCTTCCAAAAATCTTTTTTCCAGTTTCCATTCAAAGCTCAACAATTCTTACGCAAAAATCTACGAATTCTAAGCTGCAATTTGATCTGTTTCTTTCATTTTACCCAAAAATAGATACATCTAAATTTTCTAGAAAAAATTGAGGATCTTCGCTTGTCTAGCCATCACTAATTTGAGAGAATTTCCAATAAATATAAATAAAACATTTTGAAGACCGAAAATTTAATTTTTTTTGAGTGAATCTCTCCGAGATGATCTACTTATTCGGGTACAAATGGACGGATGAAAATAAATAGTGAATGAGGGAGGAGATCTTTGCTTTAAGATGACAAAAGATTTGTGCAAAAAGCGGGATTTGAACGTGAGCAGACATCAAAGCAGGGGAAAGGGATGATTTTTGAGAATTGATAAAAGTGAAGCGCTTGGAGTGTTTTTGAAATAAAAAGGCTTTTAGATAATGAAACTTTGGTTGATTTGATGGATGGTCGAGAAAAATGGAACTGATGGCAAATAGGCTAAATGAACGATGCCAAATGAACGATGCCAAATGAACGATGCCAAATGAACGATGCCAAATGACCGCTTTCTTTTTGGAAGCTGGTAGCTTGCGTACTCTGGTGCAAGGAAACAAAAAAGTGGGTAGATTTATCAAATGTAAACTGGCGGTTCGAGTATGGTAAAATAGGTGACTTTTAGAATAGACCTAGCTCATAGTGAGGGGGATGCAGTTCAATCATGACTAAGGGAAAGTCACGAGGCTGAGGTGGCCAAATGACATGAGCCATGTACCATACGACATAGAATTTTACGCTGTTTCAAATGCTGCTATCCGTTTTTGCAAAATTTATGTGTTGTGCAAGATGTAATGTTAAATTATGTTTCATTTACTTTATGGATTTCTGCCACATATGTGATTTTTTTTGTTATTTTGTTTGTTATCAATTAAAACATGTCATGATACTTATTATAAAATTAACGAATTTAAACAAAAACATCAAAACAAAATGAAAACAAAAGGAAGGGTTCGAAGTCGAGCAAAAACTTAACAGGTTGTTTCGGGAACAAGACTCTTATCCACTACAGCACAAGCTCACAGAGGCTGACGGTGAAAGAAGCGTTATATAGACTCGAGACGATGAAAGAAACCTTAGATAGGAACTGATTTTTGGCCTCTAATTTGACTTGTTTTTGAATTTGACTTTCAAATTTGTTTGCCAGCTTCTTCTCGTTTAGGAAAACGGACGAAAGCGGACAAAAACGGGTCTTGAGTCAGTTCGGAAATATTTGCCCAGGTGAAAAACATACCCTCTATTTTTTTTACAGTAACAACTTATTCTCATAAGTGACCCTATTGTTAACTCTGCCCCTTTTTCGGTCCGTTTGCCGTTGGCAATCTACGCATTTAGCTCGTATCTTTTCTTAGTTTGTTTGCAAAAACGTTGAATTTACTTTCATTCGATAGAAAATTTGATTTCGAGTTGAATGAAAGAAGATTCAACGTTTTTCAAAGAAAACCCGATCAAGGTACAAGCAAAATTCGTAGATTGTCAATGGCAAACGGACCGAGTTATGATGGCTGTTCTGTTCCCATTTAAAGTTGTAAACATTTCCTAGCTGGTGCATGGATTTCTGTTCAAACCCTTGCCACAATGATAAAGAAAGATTAGACTTTTAGCTCAATTTCACGCTGATTCGCGAATTGTGGTTACAAATTTCGAATCGCAATGCAAAACTCTACAATAGTTCGTTAAGAAAACAACAAATTGGTATCCAGAGCTCACCAAAAAGGATATGTTTACCATTTTGAACACAAAGCATCCAAAAACCTTTTGCAATGCTGACTTTTGTGATTCATAGTCACTTTTGTGACTCAAAGTCACTCAAATTATCTCTTTACTCTAAACTTCCAATGAAATTGTAATGTCTCTGTCTGGATGACTTTTGGAGAAAAGAAAGATGAGACCCAATGAATCAATCGAGGAAAGAAAAAGAAGATGAGTCACTCGATCCGATGAGAAAAGAAAAGCTCTCTCATCCAAATGCGACGATGGCACCGCAAAAACATAACAATATGAGGTGCGGTGATACGATTTTTAGCTAAATGCTGATTATTGTTTTCGTTTATCAAATTTATTGTATTGTTAAATGTTAAATTCCAAGTTTAGAGCGAAAAACTCACTCTGAAAAAGCTTTCCTTAGCTTAAATGCCTAGTTTTCCTTTAACAGCTACGGTACTACCTGTCTGGTAGAGTAATTCGACAAATACCTAGATTCTAGTCTGATAGAAGATTGCCTATAAGTTGAAGTTATTCTATTGGATTTGTGGTAATTGTTGAATGCAAATTGGCTCTAGATTTAGCGGATTGATTTAGCGAATTGATTTTCCCCGAATCTTTCCTGATTTTAGAGTGATCCCACTGATCGCCACAAAAGGCCACTGAGGGGCCTAAAAGGCTACTGAGGCGCCACTGAGCCACAAAAGGCCACTGAGGCGCCACAAAAGGCCATTGAGGCGCCACAAAAGGCCATTGAGGCGCCACTGAGCGATCCCATTGATCGCCACAAAAGGCTTCACTTCGCAAAACTTAAAAGATCTCCTTCTTATCGCTTGTATCCTTTTTTCTAGATCAAACTCTATCCTTTAGAATGCCTTGGACGGGTCACGATCGAATAACTTTTGAACTTTTGTTCAAACTTTTCTTTTTCACAACACAAAAGGCCAAAAGGCCACAAAAGGCCACGCTAGAAAGACTTCTTCAGAACTTCAGGAGAAAGGAGAAAGACTAGAAAGACTAGAAAGATTAGAAAGCTCATTAACAGTTTCCCTTTCAAGAAGTTATACGTTTTTAATTTCGTATTAAAATAATCGATTCATTTTTGAATCGATTTGAAGGCTTTTTTCTAGAAACCACATTCCCAGATGTGGATCTAAAAGAAAGTTTTTTGGTCTCACAAATCGCAAAACTTCTTTTTCCCTAGCCCCAAGCCGGTATTGCGCAGCTGTGTTCGGGGAAAACGAAAGGAAAAGAGCAAGGAAAAGAAATGAGCAAAAAGAAATGAGCAAAAAGAAAGGGGGGAAAAAGATGTGCAAGATTTAGTGGAGGTGGAGGGGAGACGGTACCAGATGTCCCCTCTCATTCCTGGCTGGGCCAGCAATCGTTTCATCTATCATTTGCTATAGATTTTTGAAAGTTTGGCACACTGTTTACTTGAATCATAATGGCTTTTTTATTTTATGGCTTAATTTTCCAGACCAGTACCTTTTCATCGTCGATTAGCAATACTTTTGATCGTTTTTGAGGCGAGTAGACGTTTTAAAAACTTGCACAAACTACCGTAACCAGTAACTCAGTTACCGTAATAACTGGCACGCTTGTAAAGTCTACATAGACATGTAAAAGTCTACATAGACTAACTGAGAAGCTGTTAATGTAAAATCAGTGCAGAATACGGTAGGAGAAATGGATCAGACTACATTAGCTGAGAAAAGCTTTAGAATTTTCAGCAAACGTTTCCAAATTTAACAAGTTGTTACTTTTTTGTGTCCTAATGTAGCTTGTGTCCTAACGTAGCTTGTGTCCTAACGTAGCTTGTGTCCTAACGTAGCTTGTGTCCCTAATGTAGCTTGTGTCCCTAATGTAGCTTGTGTCCCTAATGTAGCTTGTGTCCCTAATGTAGCTTGTGTCCCTAATGTAGCTTGTGTCCTAATGTAAATTCATCTGAGTAGCTGTATTTTAAGTTGAAATTTCAACTAATTACAGAATTTGATCGTGAAACTTTGAACTTGAACTTGAAACTTTCAATCACTCAATAGATTTGTTTTATTTTTCTATTTAAGTTGAACACTCAAGCTTTTATCTCTCAACATAGACACCCATTAATCCACCGGCAGATCTTTTTTCGTCTCATTAGAGCATTCGATTCTTACACAGCAATCGGAGGGTCAGAGCCAAGAAAGAGAGAGAAAAAGGTCAGACTTTGCTCGAGAAATCTTTCTCGAATTCTTTCCCACTTTCCCCGATGACCCACAGTTATCAGATACTCCTTTTTTCCCTTTCCACTTTAAGGTGCCAATGGCAATATCAATGGTTTCTTGGTTCTCTTTGCTTTTTGTTGGGTGACCCAGTGGAGGAGAGTCGCCCCATCCACTGATACCATTTCTGGTGACCCCACCGGTTTCTATTTTCTGCAATAACAAACTTTTACGAATATTCTAGGCAATCAATAGAAAACTTTTTCCTTTTAGACTTTCACTTGCAAACTTTCCCGAGTAGACACTTTAAACCGTTACAGCTGTTACAGCGTTACCAGTTACAGCTGCCGTACCCCTAGCTCTAGTAATTAACCGTATACAACAAATTTACAAAGATCAAAGCTACTGTAGAGTCTTTAGGAAATTCTTTAGTCGGGTTACGGTAGCTGGAGGCTTTCTTTAGTCTGAATCAGAATTCAGAAATAATTTGCAAGTCACTTCTGCAGCATCGTTCCATTTCCTGTCAATTTTCGATTGTTGTTGCCTTGAATAAACTCAAAATCAAAATATTAGCAAAACTAGTCTTGTCTTGACTTATAAAAGTCTTAATTTATTAAAGTTAAAGATTTTAGACCTAGTTGATCTTTTATCAAGCTTACCAGTTCTAATTTTTTCTTGGAACAAGAGTTTTGATGTAAATTAGATTCTAAATGATGACTTTCCATTTTCATTTCATTTTTCAACTCTTATTCTTATCTTTAACTTCAATTCCATCCATTTCCAGGAACCCGATTCCAATGCGACGTCTAGTGCTGCTTTTGGCAGCACTGACGTGCGCGGGAGATGCACATGTGCTGACACCAAGTCAGGTGACGATATCTCTCAAGAAACCGATTAAAGCGACATCGACATGTGGAGAAATCAATGGAATGCCGATCAACGAGGTCTATTGCTCGCTAGCAAGTTGGTTTTTTTAGTGTTGACTATGAGACTTGTAACTCTTTTCACAACTTCGCACTTCCAGGTTCAATGCAGTACAGTCCTCTCAATCAGTACTCGTACTCGGAAAATCAAAACGTACAAGACAGCATCTATGCCGAATTGAGATCACCAAGGGAAAGCAAGATCATTGTGAGTTTGAAAAATAGAAAGAACTTACCGGCTTTTCTCTAATAGTAGTGCGCCCCCGCGAGCCGAGTTGGTGACTATTTTACGGTTTCAAAATTTTCACAGAAGCTCAACACTCTAATCCCCCACTAGATCTCATCGTCAGCTACATTTTCCGACCCCACATCGATAGGTTCTGAGAAGCGGTTCTCGAGATTTCGAGCAATTTAGGGTGCACTACTATTAGAGAACGGTATTAGCTTCTTGCTAGAGTTTTTAAAATACATTTATTCACACGATTAATGTGGTACAAAAAATACAAAAGCACAACCCTAAATGTAGGGAAAATCCCCATATATTTCTGGAAAAAAAGAACCAGTAATCTAGCCAGCGGGATTGAAGCCTTGGCCTCTCGACTAAGATACAGGGCCTCCTAGCCATTCGGCCATGCCGTCATCTTTAAAACGCTCAAAGAAAACCGTTCATAACCACTTTTCTAGGGTGGTCACGGTTGTGGAAATTGTCTTGCTGGTGGAAAAGATTCTCGTCCGGCTCGTTTCATGGTTGACGGGAATACGAGTTGGTGGCAATCCCCGCCACTCTCCAGAGGGATGCAGTACAATGAAGTGAACATCACAATCGATTTGGAACAAGTGGATTTCCTAAAAGTTTTTTTTGATTTTCTGTTTATTGCAGGAATTCCATGTGGCCTATGTGTGGATCCAGATGGCCAACTCGCCTAAACCGGGCACTTGGGTTCTCGAAAGATCGAACGATTATGGGAAAACCTTTGCCCCGTGGATGTACTTTGCTCCAACTGAAGCTGATTGTGTTAGGGTGAGTGAAAGATCAGAAATAGCTAATGAGATTCAATATCTTTTACAGGTCTATCTACAAAACAAAATATTAGGTTGGGAAGAAAGTCTTTGCCGATTCTTTTGGGAGATAGTCTTAAACTTGTCCGATCTGGACGTGTAATAGCTCATTCGAAAGCTAATTTTTTAGTGGATTGGATAAAATAAACTGTTTTTTAATATATCAATTTTCAAAGTTTTTGCAGCGGCTTTACTGTGGAGCGTAAGACTCCAAATTTCAAAAAAATGAATATTTTTCGTTTTTTTGTACGGAAACCTAGGTTGAAATTATGTTTTTCGGAATCAGCGTTGAAAATTACCCTAGAAAACGCAAAACTCGTTCTTTTAGCAAAATCTTTTTTTTATATTTGCCGTGCGCCGGAGTCGAACCCTCGACCCTCAGATTACCGCTTTCAGAACTCTAAAAAAGGAAAATTCAACAAACATTAACAAAACAATGAAACCAAACAAACAAATAATGTCTTAAAACAATTAAATAATATAATCGCCTTGTTTTTTAATGACTTCGGTCCATCGATCCACTAATTTAGAGGCAAAGGAACTCCTTTTTTAGAGCTCTGAAAGCGGTGATCAGAGGGTCGAGGGTTCGACTCCGGCGCACGGAAAATTTTTTGAAAAAATTTTGCTAAAAGAACGAGTTTTGCGTTTTCTAGGGTAATTTTCAACGCTGATTCCGAAAAACATAATTTCAACCTAGGTTTCCGTACAAAAAAACGAAAAATATTCATTTTTTTGAAATTTGGAGTCTTACGCTCCACAGTAAAGCCGCTGCAAAAACTTTGAAAATTGATATATTAAAAAACAGTTTATTTTATCCAATCCACTAAAAAATTAGCTTTCGAATGAGCTATTACACATCCAGATCGGACAAGTTTAAGACGCTCTGCCAAAGATTTGGCAAAGACTTTCTTCCCAACCTAATACAAAATATCTACTAAACATTCTTTTTAGCGCTTCGGCCCTGAGACGATTGGCCCGGTGTTTGAGGATGAGAAAGTGATGTGTCGCTATGATTTCGCTTCAATTCAGCCACTCGAAAATGCTGAAGTGAGCAACTTTGTGCACTTTTATATACAGTAGTGGACTTTAAGATTAACAATTAAACTGTATAAGGTAACAATTAAACTGTATAAGGTAACAATTAAACTGTATAAGCTTCTCTTTAGATGGTGATTAACATACTGGAGCACCGTCCATCAAGAACCTCGTTTGCCACCTCGCAAGTGCTCCAGAATTTCACAAGAGCCACGAATGTGAGACTGAGATTGTTGGGAGTGAGAACTCTGCAAGGACATCTCATGGATCTCAATGAGAAGAATGATCCATCGATTACAAGAAGGGTGAGCTAGTGCGCTAGGGTTTAATCCCTTTTCCGGAAATCCATTTCTTGCCAATTCCTTAGCTTCTTTATTACAAGTTACAACTCTTCTTGTTGGCTTAATTCTGCTTCAACAAAATGAAATTGAAGCTCTTGAAATCGAAGCTTTCAAAATTGAAATTGAAGCTCAAAAACTAAACCAATCATGAAGAGGATTTGTTTAGTACTTTTACGCCATCAAAGAGATCCACATTGGAGGTCGTTGTGTGTGCAATGGACACGCATCGACTTGTGATGTGCTCGATGGATCACGACCGAATTCCCTTCTTTGTCGGTAAGTATTTGATAACTTAAAACAAAAGCAACACTTTTACAGCCTTTGTTCTAAATAAAATCCAATCTTAGCTAATAACCAATAACTTAAATCTAATTGCTTAACAAAGTCTTATTCCAGTTGCGAGCACAACACTTGTGGAGACATGTGCGAGCGTTGTTGCCCTGGATTCGAGCAGAAAAAATGGCAACAAGTGACCGCGTCAAACAATTTCACGTGTGAACGTAAGCCTTACAGAATTACCTTTCAGCTTTGCTAGGTTTATTGTTCTTTATTCATAAATAATTTTAAAAAAGCTGGACTTTATGAACTCCAAAAAAATTTGCGGAAGTTTTACAAAAAAGCAAAAAGTAGGGCGACGAGAGGAATCGAACCCGAGGGCAAAAGTTGCATTAGTTTAATAGTCTAGCGCACTATCCCCTAGACCGCCCTCTTTGGAAGTTTATCTTGTTGAAAAATTGAAAATTAATTCCAAATCAAGGTTTATTTGAGTAGCAGCTAAAGATTTGATTTTTTAACTTATTAAAAATTTAGCTTGCAATTGTTTTGGTCGATCAGAAGATTGCATTTATGAAGAGGAATTGGACAGAAAGAAAGTTTCGCTGGACATTCACGGAAATCAAGAGGGTGGAGGAAGATGTTTGAATTGCAGGGTGAGTGAATTGTCTGTACTTTTGGTTGTTTGCAAGTGGTGTATAGACATGTTGTCTGGTGCACTGAGTATGGAGAAAGTGAACGAAAGAAAGAGAAGAAAGAGCTCCAGAAAGAGCACAGACTTTTGCACAGATTGCACAGACTTTACAACGTCTAGTCAACTTTTTCTAGGACAACACCGAGGGAATCAACTGTAACAAGTGCAAGTTTGGCTTTTACAAGCCCGACGGGGTGAACTGGAATGACACAAATCCATGCCGACCGTGCAGATGTGATCCCAGCAAGCATACAGGTTTGATAAAATCTAAAAGCAAGTCTAAAAAGAAGTCTAAAAGTCTAAAAAGAAGTCTAAAAGTCTAGAAATTCGTTATCTAGGTGGTTGCCGAGACGGAGACGGAAAATGCGAGTGCCAAGCGCGATTTGAGGGAGAGAATTGTGATCGGTTGGTGCAAATTGTCAAATATATTATAAAATATATAAAAATAAGCACTAACATAGTAATTTTAAATTTTGGATATACAGACAAACCTCGATTTAACGATTCGCAAGGGACCGACGCTTGAAATCGTTAAAGCGAATACATCGTTAAATCGAATAACGTTAAACAAAGCAAAATATGAATGCTTTACAACCAAATCGTTTAAATGAATCATTTTGGCAAATTTATCAACAAAAAGAACTCATAGAAACTGAGCTATCAGAAAAAAACTAAAGTCTAACAAAGAAATCAGTCAAAGAAGTTTGCCTATTCGTTTTTGCATAAAAAAATCACCGATAACTGAAAGAGCATTAACAATTTTTGTATCGGTTTTCTGTTTGATGTAGCTTCGAAACACTTGGAAACTACGGTATGCATTTCGGCGAGAAATCGGCTTGACAATCTCGGCCACTTCTTCGTGGCCACTTCCACTCTCGCTTTCCAATCATGATAAGCCATTCGATCGATTTGCAACAGCTGCCAGCTCTTCCAAAGTTTGCAAACCGGTTTTTGCAACATTTCATCAACCAAAATATAATCCTTTGTGCAAGAATCGTAGAAATATTTGATTGCGGTGCCTCGAAATGGATCGACGTTTCGGCTCTTTCGGTTCTCCTTTCGGTTCTCCTTTCGGTTCTCTTTTCGGTTCTTCTTTCGGTTCTTCTTTCGGTTCTTCTTTCGGTTCTCCTTCCGGTTCTCCTTTCGGTTCTTCTTTCGGTTCTTCTTTCGGTTCTCCTTTCGGTTCTCCTTTCGGTTCTCTTTTCGGTTCTTCTTTCGGTTCTCCTTTCGGTTCTTCTTTCGATTCTTTCAATCCTCTTTTTGGTCCTTTCGGTCCTTTCAATCCTTTTGCTCCTTTCGGTTCTTTCAATCCTTTTGCTCCTTTCGAAGTCGACAGAGAGATGTTTTTTTTCAAAGCCAAATCGATTCGTCTTCGCTTCATTTTTCCTCGTTCCTCATCACCTAAAATAAGAAAATTATTCAAGAACAGGAAATAAAACAAAAACAGAAACACTTAGGGGTAGCTTCTTGTGTCAAAATGCCTAAGTTGCTTTGCCCAAGTTTTTGCAAAGATTTTCTGATTTCAATAGAAATCTGCTTTCAAAAGAATTTCAATAGAATCTTAGCTTAAAGCTGAAATCGAGCTGAAATAGCTGAAAATCGAAAAGCTAACCCAAATCAAATGCACATTTCACATCGCTAAATCGAAGAAATCGTAATCGAATGCAAATTTTTGAATGAAATCCAAATTTCACATCGTTAAATCGAAGAAATCGTTAAATCGAGTTGGTAAATCGAGAGTTGACTGTATTTTTCAAGTATACTGTACCCCCACTTAACGACTTTAGCTGTGCCACCGGTTACTACGATCCGCCAGAGTGCAAGAAATGCGAGTGCTCTGTGAACGGGACATTGGATCAAATTTGCTTGGTAGAAAAAATCATTTTTTAAATCTAATCTATATTTTCATCTAAATCTTAGCACTGTACTAGTTATTTTATAAATTTATCGAAACTATTCAGCCAACCGATGGTCAATGCCCGTGCCTGGACGGTTTTGGGGGGAAATTCTGCGAGACTTGCGCCCCCGGATTCACCAATATCACGGCTGGATGCGTTGGTGGGTCAAGTTTCAAAGTTCTAAGTAATATTCGAGAATTAGCTTTAAGAAACTTCAATTTACGATAAGAATCAATTCAGGCTGTACCTGTGACGAAGTCGGTTCTCTCAACGTGAACTGCTCAGCCGAAACTAGTCAATGCGCTTGCAAAGCCGAGTACTCTGGATTGGCCTGTGATCAGTGTGCTCAAGGATATTATGGATTCCCGAAGTGTACCTGTGAGTTATTAAACAGTTTATTGATATTTCAGCAGGCCAAGCCAAGCCAGAGCAACCAGAAATCGGGCAGAAGTCGGGTTTAGGCTTGGCTTTTGACGGGCTTAGGCTTAGGCTTAGGTGATTGGCGTCTTAGAAACGACGAAAAGCAACAAAAGTTCTACCTAAAAGCTTTCTAGATTGCAACTGTGATCCAACGGGTACCGAGGATGGAATCTGTGACCAAGAGAGCGGCCAGTGTCTCTGTAAACCCGGATTTGCTGGTTCTCTTTGCAATCAATGTGATTCCGAGTTCTATGGATATCCAGCTTGCAAAGGTAAGTACAGTGGCTTTATTGAAGTTCATTGAGTTCAGCTTGTGAATGCAAGGGTGCCGGCGCGAAGTCTCTCGATTGTGACAAGAAAACCGGAGATTGCCCGTGTGCTGCGAACTTCACTGCAAGAACTTGTGACAAGGTTGGCTTTGAGATTGAAGTTTAACTGTGCAATTCAAATCACCACCCGTGGGTGCATCCATCCGGATGGCATAAGCCGGCGCTGATTAGCTTCAGAGCTTTGTTTACTGACAAGGGCAAGTCAACTGGCTGAGCCAAATGCTATGCAACCCATACCATTCGACGCAGAATTTTAGGCTGCTTCCGAATATGTATTTCGTTTTTGCTAAATGACAGTCTACCAGGAGTTAAAAGTGTCCAAAGTTTGTTAGGACTCTAAAAAAGGCAAAAGAAGCATTGAGAGTAAAAAATCGAACCGAGGTCTCGCTGGAAACGAGGGCTGTACCACTCGACCACGGCTGCACCGCATTGAGTCCGCATGAAGGCCGCTAAGACCCACATTTTCAGGACCAAATGACCCAAATCACGGCAAATTTCTCAACGGCTTAATGGATTTGGGTCTTAACGACCTGGTTTTGGGTCTTAACTCCTTGCCGACCCGGTTTGGTGCAGCTGTGGTACAGGGTTGGTTTTCAGAGCGAGAGACCTCACAAGTTTGATCCCCACTATGGATTTTTTTTCATTTCTTTTTAAGAAGTGTTGGTAAGTGTTCTTTGTGCGCGCGCACATTCGCATTCCATCTAATACATTGCTTTCTGGATATAAAGCCACAAGGCAATGTTGATCAATCGTCGAATGGGATAGGTTGACCCTCTAGTTGACCTCTAGTTGGGGGTAAGCTGACCCTCCGACTCGAATAGTATAGTTTTGGGCATTTGGTCGGCTCAGCCACTTGTCCATCCCTCTGCCATCAGCCAGTGAATATCTTTTAACTGGTTCATGATTGGAACACTTCCAATACTTAACGACCGTTGAATAGATTTAGCTTTAGCTTATCCATTCATTTCTCTTGCCTTTTCAGTGCGCCGCCGGTTTTTACGACTACCCGAATTGTAAAGCTTGCTCTTGTTTGACTGAGGGAGCCAAGGGACAGACTTGTGACGCAAATGGACAGGTAAATCAAAGACAAACAACAAGACAAGCACATTTTCTTCAGTGCTACTGCAAGGGAAACTACGAGGGCGAGCGTTGCGACCGTTGCAAACCGAATTTCTACAATTTCCCCGTTTGCGAGGAGTGCAATTGTCATCCAAATGGAGTGACGCCGAATTTCGGCGGTTGTGACAAGGTCAGTAAAAATGGATGAAAAGCTATAGATAATAAAAGCTTTCGATAATGATAATTTCCAGGTTGCCCCGGGTGAGCTGTGCTCTTGTCGAAAGCATGTCACTGGTCGAATCTGTGATCAATGTAAACCGACCTATTGGGATTTACAATATCACCATCCGGATGGATGCATCGGTATGTTTTCAATTAAAGTTCCCATGGTTAACCAAAACCTGATTGTTAAATGGTCAGTTTACTTCATTATTTCCAGTTCCATTTTTAAAGTTAACTATTATACATTGCACTTCAGTCAATGCACTTTAGTCAATGATTTTTCATTAATGAAAACGAATTGCAGGTTGTGACTGCAATCTCCCGGGAACTCTCTCAATGTTGAATTCTTGCGAAGAGAAAAACGGGCAATGTGTTTGCAAGCGACACGTCGGTGGTAGAAGCTGTGACAAGTGTGCGGACGGATATTACAATATGAAAGCACACAATCAATTGGGATGTGAACGTGAGTTCGACGAGAATCGAGAATCGATAAGAATCGAGAATCAATAAGAATCGAGAATCCAGAATCGATAAGAAACGAGAATCGAGAATCGACAAGAATCGAGAATCAATAAACTTTAAGTGCTAAATGCATGTTTTAAATAAAAATTGACATACGTAAACGCTGAAAGCAGCTAAATAAGTATACAGCTATTCCAATGAAAGCCAAGGATCCTATAAAATAACTTTAGCCTGCAATTGTGACCTTGGGGGAGCGCTGCGCAGCGAGTGTGACCCGTCAACTGGCCAATGCAAGTGCCGTCCACGTGTCGGTGGATTGAAATGCGACAAACCGATCGACAATCACTATTTCCCGACGCTCTGGCATAACATGGTTAGATAATCAGATAAAGATAATATAATCGTAATAATGGTAATGATAAGGAGCCAAATCAACATGTAAGATTTTCTAATGATAATGATAAGGAGCCAAATCAACATGTAAGATTTTAAGTACGAGGCTGAGGATGGGCACAATATGGAGAATCGGCCTGTTCGCTTCTCGAGCGATGCGTCACAGTTCCCGAACTTCAGGTAGAGAGCTCTAGAGTTCTCTAGTTTCAAAGAACAATTCAATCATTTAGTTGGCGTGGCTATGCAGTCTTCTCACCGATTCAAGAGAAAATCATCATGGACATCGATATTTCAAAATCTTCAGTCTATCGTGTTCTCTTGAGATATCACAATCCGACTCAAGTCCCCATTCAAGCAATTTTGGCGGTGGCGCCTGCAAGGACAAATAGTCATGGTTAGTGAAGAGCTATTCTTGCAAAATGAATGATTTAGTTGAACAAATTTACCAGATCTAAATTTACCAGTAAACCAGATCAAACTAAATCAAAAACTTATCCAAGGCCCAGCCAGAGGCATTAGTAAACCAGGCTTGCAACCAGCCAGGCAATGTCATGAACTAGATACGGACAAGGTTTTAGGATGCTTTGACCTGATCTGAATCGGGAAAATTGTCTTTGAAACACTTTGCTTTGTAAAACAACACTACAATTCGAGTACCTTTGGAAATTTTCAGGCTCAGTTGCTAGGTTTCAATAGTTTTTAATATCCCATGGGTATATAAGTTCTGCTGGTATCCAAACAATGGCGCATTAAGTCGTTGAAATAAGCTCAACTTGCCAGCATGTGATTTATCTTTGATACTGGCCTGTGTTTGCATGAGGAACCATAGTAGTGAGACTTTAATGAGTAAGTTTAGCGTTTAGCGAGGTTTAGCGAATGAGTTTAGCGAGGTAAACACAGAAGAAACGCAATAAAATGTGTTGAAGAAACACACAGAAAGAAACGCCAATCGAAAGAATTACAAGAAAGAATTAGTGCGCAAAAAGTCGAAATGAAATAGCGGAAATAGGAGGATTACGGTATTTGGGGCATGACTTAGAAAAGAGGTGAAGCCGGGATTGAGAATATTTAACTCTACAATATATTTTTAGATGTCGAACAATCTGAGAAAGTCACCTTTGCTCCCACCAAAGAACCAGCCACCATTGAGGCAACTTTGCCGGGAAAACCGTTTGTGTTGAATCCAGGGAAATGGTCGCTCTCTTTGGCTACGAAGCAACGACTTTTCTTGGTGAGTTTTAAAAGCTAAACAATTTCTTGTACTTGATATGTACTTGATACTTGTACTTGTACTTGATACTTGTACTTGATACCTGTACTTGTACTTGTACTTGATACTTGTACTTGTACTTGTACTTGATACTTGATACTTACACTTGTACTTGTACTTGAAACTTTTTGTAACCCAATCCATTTCAGGACTATGCCGTCATCCTTCCCCAAGAATACTACGAGGGAACAGTTCTGAAAGAAAGATTACCCGCCCCATGTCGCGCGTTGACCATCCAGAATACAACTTGTTTGGATCTTTTGTATCCACCAGTTGATATCGATGTGACGAGAGTGGATGTCGAGAATGGAATGCCATTCAGAGAAGTGATTGATGAGGAGAATGGAGGAGAAGAAAAAGAACTCGAAAAGGTGGATATAAATTTGTGGAAAGCTTTGAAAAAGATGAAAATGAAGTGAAATTTGTTTGAAATGAAGTGAAATTCGTTAGTTAAATTGTTAAAAAGTCAACATTTTCAGATGCCAGCCGAATTGCTTCCAGCTGAACTTGTCGGACAAGCCGCTCATGTGAAAAAGAGTGACAAGAGTCGAATGATTAAAGCAAAGGTTTGGAAAAATGGGAGAACTGGGAAATCTGGGTAACATGTTATTAGGCATGAAATGGATAGGTTTCAATTCTCTTAGCAATTATTGACTTTTCTTTAGCTTTTTCTTTAGCTTGACGTTCCTGAAGATGGTGATTACGTTGTGCTGATTGAATATCACAATCACGAGGAGACAAATCTCCCATTGCAAGTCGAGATCGTTCAAGAGGGAAAAACGAAATTGGATGGAACGGCGATCATTCAACATTGCCCATTCTCGTAAGCTTTTAATGATGCGAATAAGGTTTTAAAATTTAGAATTCTTTCGGTACTTTAGAGGCAACTGAAATGAAAATGAAAAGGCAACTGAATGAAAAAACTGAAATCCATTTAGAACCTTTTGTCGAGAACTCGTGACAGCCGGTGGACGAATTCCGGAGATGCAGTTGAAGAAAGGAGAAGCCGAGCTGCAATTCAGCGTCGACCCAGCACACGAGTTTGGCCTGGCGAGCGTCAGTTTGATCCCAAGATCGAAATGGAATCACAATCTGCTTCATCAGGTTAAACCTTGAAATCTTCATAATGGCTTTTGGCTATCTTCAAGCTGAAGACAAAACTAAAAACGAAATCCCCTTTTAGTTCCCTGTGTGCACCCGGAAGAATGGAAAATGCGTTGGTCAATCCTATCCACCAGCTCAAAACTCAGGTGAGTCAGTAAACTGAGTTTGCTGCAAAGGCAGGTTTTCTAGCAAACTCGGTTTAACGTTTGCTAGCAAACAAATCTTCATACTTAAGATTACATAAAAGCAAACACGCAAAGCAGCTGAATTTATAAGTTCGTAAAGGAATTTGTAAATAAAACTCGATTTTTTTAGGAAATTTCTTAAAAGAAACTTCTTACTCTTTGTTTTCAATGGTTCTCACCAAATGTTTTTCTCTGAAAACGCTTACAATTAAGTACAATTAAGTTCTATTTGATTATAATATGCTGAAAGGATCTAAATAAAATAAGAATCTCATAAAAACAACAATTTGCAATCCGTTGTTAACCAAATTTTAGTTGATAGTTGATAACTTTTTAGGATATTGGTCATTGGACATAGGCCATTGGGATATTGTTCATTGGGATATTGGTCATTGGGATATTGGTCATTGGGATATTGGTCATTGGGATATTGTTCATTGGGATATTGGTCATTGGGATATTGGTCATTGGGATATAGGCCATTGGGATATAGGCCATTGGGATATAGGCCATTGGGATATAGGCCATTGGGATATAGGCCATTGGGATATAGGCCATTTCCAGTAAACTTTGATATTTTAGGAATTTGAGGTAGCTTACTATTAGATTATTACTATTGAAACACTTTAGAAAACTTAAAAATGGCTTTTTGTAAGAAACAAAAACAAAAGAAACAAACAAAAAAACAAAAGAGACAAAAACAAAAGAAAAAGTGACAGTGAGGGAATTGAACCAGCATCTGAGGGCCTGAGGCGCTGGAATGCTAAGCCCTAGGCCATCTGGGCGATGTCTGATGGGAAGTAGTTCGACTCTATACCCCGTTTGCTTCACACTTTAAACTTCATACGTTTTCAAACGCCGTTTTCAAAAGCCGACTTCAAACGCCGACTTCAAAAGCGTTTTTCTCGAAAATTTTGTATTGGTTCCATAAAATTGAAAGACAAATGTCCCTTAAAATTTTGAGAGAATGTTTTTGAGATATTTCCCAACTTTCCCAGTCATTTCTGAGTTGAAATAGTTCCCCAATAAATCAAGAATTTAGTTACAACTGAAGTCGAAGATGGAGCAAACGCCGAGAGAGCTGTCGATGGAACAAAGCTCTCATTTGACATTGTGAACGCCGATTCGGTGAAAGTGATGTCATTGGCGCCGGAAGAGGTGCTTTAGTTTGACGTTTAGAAAATTCGTAAACCGAGAAATAAGCAATTCTTGGTTCTGTGAAAATCCTTTAGCTCCAAAATTAACTGATACTTTTTGGACAGTGTTTAGTATCCGATTTGTGACATAAAACCACAAAAATCTTGCTTTATTGCACACAAGTTTGCTATGAAAAAACAATCCCAACAATCGTGAACCCAAAAAAACCGATTTTCTTCAGCAATTCGAGATCTCCGGGGTTGTTCCCCAGCGTGGCCACTATCGTTTCATCGTCAACTATTTTAACCCAGACAGCACTCCATTGAGTGCCGATGTAATGGTGCAAAATAACGAGCAATTGTATCAAGGTGAGTCAAAAAGGCGGTTTAGAAAAGGCGATTCAAAAATTTCTCAAAAATCTTTATTTAGATCTCAGATTCAATTATAAAGGTGAATTTGATAGAAAAGATTTTTTTTGTTGACACTTTTTCGTTTACAAGGCACAGAAAGCTTTCGAGCCACTGTAATCTTTGATAAATTTAGCAATTCTTCCTTTGGAGTACTGCCCATCGGTGTCCGGATGCAGAGCTGTGATTCATGACAAAGAGCGAGGAAAATATGTGAGTATGGATTTGTTAGAAGTAGGGTAGCTGTCCACTACTGATACTGGGACTAAAATGAATACCTCCAATCGATTCCCCGACCTCGAAAACCCCCGGGTACAAATTTACAGCTCAACATCTTTTTTTGCCATCTACAAAGCAAAAGAAGAATCCTTATGTAAATGATTGACGATGTGTTCTTTGTGCGCGCGGGTAATCCCTCTCCATCTAGTAAAATGCTCTGGTATAGATGCTTCCCTTTTGGACTCTATTAAGGGGCAAAGGAGCGGTCAGAGAAGTTATTAGACATTTGATACGGGCCCCGCCCCTTTTGCCATTGGAAATTCAACTTTGAGCTCAAATTTCTTGGTGTGGGGTGTTCAATTCAAATATTCTTGGTATCATTAGATGCGTCAAGTCTTTCTCTGTCAATTGATAAAAAACTATTTGTATTGGACAAAAGGGGGTGGGGCGTTCCTTCTATACACGCCCCGCCCCCTTGCCCCGTTGCCATTGTCAATCCAAATTTGAGCTCAAATTTCTAGGTGTTGGACTGTCCAATTTAAATAGTTTTTGTACCAATCGACAGAGAAAGACTTTGTTCATCCAATGATACGAAGAAGATTTGAATTGTACAGCCCAAAGTCGAGATATTTGAGCTCAAAGTTAGATTGCCAAGGGCAAAGGGCGCGGGAATCTCAACTGTCCCAAAATCGTCAGCAACTGCGTTTCCTTCTAGTCACTATGCCTAAGTTTTTGGGATCAATTTCTGTCTTAGTTTTGACTTGGTTTTTGCCACAATTTTTACATTATGTCAAGCCGATTTTCTTCAGTCATTTCTACATAAACCTTCATCAAAGAATTAGATTGCTACACTTACTTAGATTCCTACACAATTAGAATTAGATTCCTACACATAAATTGGTTTTAGTGAGAATTCGGCCTCAATTTGGACTCCTTCTTTAAGCCAAAAGAAAACATTAAAAGGAAAAGATCCCTGCACAGGACAAGTTACGGCCATAGGGGATAAGGTTTACCGTAGTGACCAAAAGAGACGCTATGGCCCGTTTTCTTAATGCCAGCTATGGCCAGTTTTCTTAATTCAAAGAATTTTAATGGAAAGGATGGCTTTAAAGCATGATTTTGCAAAAAAAAAGTCAAAAACTCTTCCTCTAGGTGAACCAATTCTGGATGGAGGATCGCTACACATTGGTTTTTTCGATCAACGCCACCAACAAAGCTGTGTACATTGTGAGTCTAGAGCTTAAGCTTCACCTAAATTTGTGCGTGTGAGGCTGAAATTTCTACAGAACAACATTTTCGCACAACTTTCAGCCAATCAGAGTCACGTAAACTCTTGACTTTTTTTGCGAGCTAGTGATTTTGAAACTTTTCTTTTTCAGGACTCGGTAACCGCAGTTCCGTACAGTGACTATAATGATAATCTGATGAAATTGCAACCGATCGATTTGTCGCAAGATTTCGTCGAACAATGCAAAGACAACATTTTCAAAGAGCCGTAAGGATTCAAAAGAATTTATTAGTCAAAAATGTAATTCAATATTGGAATGGGTAAAAGATCCAATTACTGTAAATCCTCTAATCGAACGCCACTTTCTCGTACAGTCGCGTAGTCTGATAAAGGATCTTTGTTTGTTTTTTTTGTTGAATAATACTTTTAAAGTAAAATACCACAAGTTTGATTGAAGGAATCCATTTCTAGATGTCAAATTGTGTGTCAAAAAGTGTTAAAAATGGCAGATCAAAATGACAGGCCGACTTGAGCTCATTCGAGGGCTTGTAAAATGAGTTGTATAAGCGCAATCGGAAAGTTTTTGATAGATAAATGTTGCCGAGAGCTAGGGCTACAATCCTCTATATAACACTTGCCAATTTTGAAATAGATTAGACACTTCCCAGCTACTTTTCCAAAAAGTTGTCGCCATAATCACCCTATGGAGTTGCAAAAGATCTGATAAACAACTCTTCCAAAAGGCAAATAGTAAAACTCAATCACTCGATCAGTTCGATCAATTTGAACAGTTGTAACTGCATAAGATATTCAGCCAAATGCTGTAATGTTAAATTTTATTCCTTTGCTTTATATTGACACTTGCGAGTGGAATTTTCAGTTTTTTTCTTACTTCTGGCAAAAGTTCGCGTTGTAATCCTGAGCATGCAATACTAAATTTGTTTTTCTACTTGTTTACCTCTTATACTTTTAACTCACTATATATTGTCGACTCCCACAGTTTATTTTAATGATCCCAGTGCTATAGAGTAACCATTAAATTATTAAAACTTGATCGATTTTTAGTTTTTTCAAGTTACTTTGCCTACTGTAAATACTTTAATAGAACGCCAACCGCTCGTACAGTCGCGTAGTCTAACTTCTTTCTAGAAAATCATTTTTACCTCAGTCCCTAGTTTTTTCTCAACTACTCCTTTGGTACCAAGAAATACTAGATTTCAAGAGCTATCATTTGACACCGAAGCCCATACTGTAGCATAAAACAGCGCAGAGAACGAGACGTTCAAAGTTAGACTACGCGACTGTACGCTCGTCATTATGGCGTTCTATTAGAGTATTTACGGTAACGATTCAGTTGTAGCAATACGAGCGATTTCTGCCGTGACAAGATCTTCACCCTTACCACCGATTTCAATCAAGCGGCTCTCTCGTGTGATTGTATGGCAGCTGGTGAGTGGTTGACATTTGAGATTTATAATTTAGCTTATATTAGATTGAATAGCTGAATTGAATGAGCTTTTTTAGGTTCGAACTCGTTCAACTGTGAACCCTATGGTGGTCAATGTCAATGTAAAGCGAATATTATCGGACGTCGGTGTGATCGATGCGCTCCTGGCTATTATTCGTATCCGGATTGCTTGAGTGAGTTTTAAAATTGGAATTTAGCTTTGAAAAGCTTGAGGCAAGAGTCGATACTTTGCATAGCAGATGCTTGAGCCCGGTTGCTACGCTCTGGGAAAGTTCCACGCGGGAAAATTTTAGCTTTCCGACTGCTACACTCTGGGAAAGTTTCCGCCGAAAACTCTATCGAAAAACTTTGAGTTTTCCGCTGCCGGAAACCTTCTTACGAGAATTTCCGGCGGAAACTTTATTAGGAGAATTTCCGGCGGAAACTTTCCCGAAGCGTAGCATACGGGCTTGCATTTAAAAGTCTTGAGCAAAAAAGTGTCAAAAGTAGTCAAGGTCAGTCTGTAATTAGTTCAAAGTCTTGAAATTTATGAATATGGCCAGGAAAAGATACTAGATACTAAGCTAATCATTTCCACGATTTCATTTTAGAATGTAAATGCGGCCCGAATCAACACTGCGACGAGAAAACCGGTCAATGCTATTGTGCTCCACACGTCGAAGGACAAAGATGTGATCGGTGAGTTTTGGGATTTCTAGTGGTCACTTCAAGTTGTTCTTCTAGTTGTTCTTCTAGTTGTTCTTCTAGTTTTCACAGCTAATAGTTAAGCAAATGTAAGCTAAACTTCCCATAAGGCTTAGGATTTTAAATTAAACTATGTCTACGTGCATCTCTAATCCCGACCTTTCCAGCTGTGTCTCTTATGCGTACGGCTACGATCCATTGATCGGCTGTCAGCTCTGTGGATGTAATCGAGACGGATCCGAGGGTACTGTAACATTTTCCATCTTATAAAAAACCATTTAAACGTCTTTAAGTAAACTATTGGATTCAAAATGGAGGTGAGGCAGTCCAGAAATTTTTTTCATTTTTAGACTTTTTTGTTTCGCATGAAAGCATCAAGAGATTATTTCGTTTAAGGAAAAATTTTAAAAAGGCGAATAACAAGCTATATTTTAGGTGGAAATCTCGAGTGTGATCCTTTAAACGGTCAATGTTTGTGCAAAGAGAATGTTGGTGGAAGGATGTGCGATCGATGCTTGCCTGGGTTCTATCGTTTCCCGCATTGTGCCGAGTGCAGGTGAGCAGAGCCTAAAATAGAAAAGGGTTCTTTTTGTTCTTTGTTGTTCTTGTTGTTCTTGTGGTTCCATTATTCTTTTTGGGTCTTAAGAATCGGATTTTGAGAACTTGAGAAATTTTCGCAGAGAACATGATGGGTTTAGAGGCGACTTTCTGAGCAAATCAGCTAGGCAACTCAGGCTTAGGCTTGGATTTAGTGCGAAGGCTAGCGGCTAGCGCCTCGTACTAAGTTTATTTGGGTTTGGGCTCACCGCCCCAGCACCTGATTTCTGGATTTCGGTCAGTTCCCGGAGCTTAGGCTTAGGCTTAGGTCAAAACTTTCTCTAGATCCCAGACTGGGAAAAACCCCTGGACCTGTGAAAGTCCAGTACTGGCCTAAGAAAGTGTGTGATTGCGATATGTCTAACTCTGGCTTAGCCCTGATCCTGGATCTAAATAAACCAGGAGTCGGTCGGCTCCTAGGTTGGCTAGCTTGTGTTAACTTGGCCCACAATATTTGTGAAGCATTTCTTCTGATCAGCATTTCTTCGGAAAAGCACTTTGGATCAGCTAAAGCATCTAAACTAGCAAAGTTTGACATATTACAGCAGTTGGTCCTTTTATGGGTTGGAACTGGGAATACAAAACTAGATCGGCGCCGGGATTCGAACCCGCGATCTCTCGCTCACCGGGCGAAAGCTCTACCAAGCTCTGTACACATGTCCCATTGCCGCCAGGGTAGGGCTTTATGCCTTACTTTATGCTCACCTGAATCACTGAGCAGGGTCCAACGATTTTTTGTGAAACTGCCCTCTCCAAAAGTCTCCATAATTCCTAACCGATTGTAGTTTATTGTATCTGGTTTTTTTTTAGATGCAACCGTGACGGCACCACTGAAGATGTTTGTGATCCAAATTCGGCTCGCTGCTCGTGCAAAGAGAACGTTTACGGAGCAATGTGTGAGGCTTGTAAACCAGGCACCTTTGATCTCTCGGTCTCCAATTCGCTTGGCTGTGCCGATTGTTTCTGTTTTGGCGTCACTGATCGATGTCGATCAAGCAACTATCCGGTGGCTATGGTGGGTAAAATGATTTGACAAACAAATAGTTAGATAGATAAAAGCAAACTTCAAATTTTCAGTTGGCCTTCAACATCTCCGCTTTCACTTTCTCGGATCCAAAAGGGAAAGTGTCAATCGTGAAAGATATTATCAAATATGAGCCGGGAGATGAGGGAGCGCCGAAAGATGTTTACATCAATGTGCCCATTCCACAGTATCGAGATTTCACGACCAGCTATGGATTGAAGGTAGTTTAGTTTACAGGGTGGGCCAAAAGTACCGTTACATATACATATGTACATTTATACAGTCTCTGTATAAAGAGCAACTCAAAAGGTCAAATATTTCTCTTAAAAATAACTTTTATTGTCTCATAACAATTCATAGAAACTGTTCCTTTTCAAACAGATCTCCAATAGCTTTTACACAGGCGTTCAAACGTCGTAGAAAAGCGTCGATCGTGGTGAGAAGGTATAGGAGATCCAGCTCTTCGTGAAGGTATAGGAGATCCAGCTCTTCGAGAAGGTATAGGAGATCCAGCTCTTCGTGAAGGTATAGGAGATCCAGCTCTTCGTGAAGGTATAGGAGATCTAGCTCTTCTCAAGCCTTTTCGAACCCCAAGAAGGTATAGGAGATCCAGCTCTTCCCAAGCCTTTTTTCAAACTATCAACAGTTTTGTGTGGTTGATAGCGTCAACTGATAGCATTTGTGATTTATTTTTCTCGTGGGCCTTTAACTTGAGCTTGTTTTTGATGATTCCTCTAAGGGATGCTCGCTTAATCCCCATTTTTTGTGACATTTTCCGCACCGACTAGTTTGGCGTTTTCAAAAGACGATTTCTCACTTTTTTTTGGCATTTGCTGAAGTTGTTACCGTTCGCTTTCTTCCATTCTTTCGCATTCTTTCGCAATTGCGCGTGAGTGAGCATTGTAACTTTGGCCCACCCTGTCGTTAAGTGTTGATAGCAAATTCCCAAAACTAAATCCACTCCTTCAAATCCAGCTTTTCATTCACTAGCTTCAAATCCAGCTCTTTAAAAAACTCATGTTCAGATCCACTTCAAATTGGCTGTTCAACCGTCGGATGATATCAAAACGATGTCCTCGGAGGCGGATCTCCGATTGACTGGCCGTAATGTGACCGCCGATTTCTGGGCTCCCGAACAACCCGTCGATCCATCGTCGCCATTCCCTGTTGAATTGAGAATCCTTCCAGTGAGTTTCAAAAATAAAACATTAACCGCTAATCTAAACCGCTGTAAATTTCACTTCAATTTGTGAATCTACCGTATTTCTTCGAATAGAAGACCGGGTAAAGAGTATGATCGCGTACTCCTGCGTAGCAGCCCTTTTTAAAATTTCTTTTCTGCATAAAAGCTTTCAATCAAGTGCTATAGGGCTGGAAAATGGCTCAAAAATCTGTTAGCTCGTGTGGTATTTTTGAGCCATTTTCCAGCCCTATAGCACTTGATTGAAAGCTTTTATGCAGAAAAGAAATTTTAAAAAGGGCTGCTACGCAGGAGTACGCGATCATACTCTTTACCCGGTCTTCTATTCGAAGAAATACGGTAACTCTCTTTTGAAATGTGTCAACTTTTGAAGACACTACTTAAACAATATCGTAAAACAATATTGTAAAACACTAACCAAGGCCTGTCTGACTTTTGACTATATTCTATAAAGGTTAATAAATGGTGTTGCAGTAGGTAATCCTAATAAAGTCTAGTGCCAAGTTTATGGTAGAAAGTTGGCATATTTTAGAAAACCTACATTAACAAACCAATTAACAAACCAACTAACAAACCAATTAACAAACATCTTTTTTATGCATTTTACTGGTAAATCAACTCTACAGGGTGATCTCGGACAACTTTTTACTCAAACTTGATTTTAAAATCACTGAGGAAAGCTATTCAAGTAAACCTTTTTGAAACGAAGGCCTTAGTAAAATTATCCTTAAAATCACTGGCAGCTTAAAATCACTGGCAGCCTGCCGTCAATCACTGGCAGCTTAAAATCATTGGCAGCTTAAAATCACTGTCGTTGTCACTGTCGTCGACCACTTGCCCCGCTCAGTCATTTTAAAATCAAATTTTTAGTAAAAAGTTGTACAGCAACTTTTAGATCACCCTTTAATTTGTTCGCTTTAGGAAAACTTTTTGTCAGCCGATGGAAAAGCATTGTCCCGTTCCGATTTGATGCTTTTGTTGTACAATTTGGAGAAAGTTCAAGTGAAAGGCTCCTATTTCAACAACCCGAAAGCCATCGATTTGCTCGAATTCGGATTCGGAAGTGAGTGATCAGAGGAATATTTGGTGAAAATGAAACTTTAGCCTCTTGTAAGTCCCCCAAGAAACAGGTCTAAATGAATAACCCAAGCTTTTTCTAACATAGATGATCTAGAGTTTTAGTTTGAAACGATTTTAACATTTTCGATTTTGTGATTTAGTTTCTGGAGATCAATATGGAACGACGAGAGTGACCGCTTCTTCGGTGGAAATTTGCCAATGTCCAGCACCATATAAAGGGCCGTCTTGTCAGGTAAATAATCAGGAGTTTGGCTAATAAACTATTAGGTTGATGCATAAGTGTTTTTGTTCCTTTTCGTCTGCCGTTTCAAGCCAACAAATGCACCAATTAAACTACGGTTGATTTCATTAGAAAAAGCAATTATTTTCCAAAATAACATTAAACGGGTTTAAAAATATTTAATGCCTGGATTTTCTTGAGAGTATGAAGTCGGGTAGTCAAAAAGGGCTAACTCGATGATGCGGTTTAGACACCTTAGCTAAAGAAAACCTATCTTCGTGTCAATAGATAAAAGATAGAGAAAAAAAACGTTTGATATTTCGCCAAAATTTCAGAGAAATTCATTCAGCCAATTTTTCCGTAGAGTTTTTTATAGATTTTTTACGAAAAGGCGTTTTTCACTCTCGAATTTGCTTGAAAGTGAACCGAAATTCATTTAAAAGATGCAAATTGAACAAAAAACACTTTTTATAGAGCAAACTATAGATTAATTCGTGAATTTGTTACTTTTTAACAGAAGTACGAAAAAAACGAAAAGACTTATGCATCAACCTATTAGTTTTTTAAAAGTTGAAATGCAAATTGACCCTAAGTAGTCTGCTTAAAATTTGTTGGGTAAAGCTTTTTCCAAAAGGTTCGCTCAAGAAAAAGCTACCGTAGTTCTGAACTTTCTAAAGAGGATGCCAACTACCGTATTTTCTCTAATAGTAGTGCACCGAGAGCGTCGCCTAAATTCCTCGAAATCTCGAGAACCGCTTATCAGAACCTATCGATGTGGGATCGGAAAATGTAGCTGACGATGAGATCTAGTGGGGGATTAGAGTGTTGAGCTTCTGTGAAAACTTTGGAAGCCATAAAATAGTCATCAACTCGGCTCGCCTGGGTGCACTACTATTAGCGAAAATATGGCAGTTTTAAAGATGACCAAAAGATGGCTGAAGTACGGTAGCCCATCCATAATCGGATCTTTTAGAAAACTGTAGCCCTTTTGTTCCACCGTAAGCCTACCGTAATCTAGACTCTTTAGGTGACTGAGGTGTATGGTATGGTAGTTTTAATGTTAGATTCCAAGGCAGTTGAAGTACGGTAGCTTTTGCCTGAGCGCATTTTTTTAGAAAACGATTTACCAATGTGAGAAACAATAAAGTTATTAACTGTTTGAGGAACAAGGTTCTGAGCTATATGATACTAGAAAATCTGTTTTTGATCTTCCTACAGTATCCTGGAATTTTACTAGACTGACAAGGAAGGACAACTGAAGCCAAATGACATGAGCCATAAACCATTCGACGCAGAATTACACACTGATTATGATGCTGCTTTTCTTTTTTGTTACGGAGCACTTTGTCAAAAGTCATACGCGTTTAAAGATGTTATATTGTGTGCGGCGATAGAGAACACACAAGTCATTAAAGCCTAGTAAAAGAAAAAGAAAATCAGCTACCGGACTCGAACCAGAGAACCCTCGACTTGAGTCGTAAATCACTAACAATCTGTCACCGCTGTATCTGCTGAGTTCGAGGAAGACAGGGTAGTAATGTTGATTTTTTAAAACTCCATACAAAACTTTAAACGTGTATTGCATTTGACAGAGCGCTCCGTAACAAAAAAGAAAAGCAGCATCATAATCAGCGTGTAATTCTGCGTCGAATGGTTTATGGCTCATGTCATTTGGCTTCAGCTGACCTTCCTTGCCAGTCTAATAAACTCCCAGGATACTGTAGGAAGATCAAAAACAGATTTCTAGTATTCTATAGCTCAGAGGCTCTAACTTTATCTCTTCCACTACTAAATAATATTTAACATCCATTTCCAGGAATGCAACGATGGCTACTATCGAGTGAAGACTGGCCCGTATTTGGGCTCTTGTGTGCCTTGTGAATGCAATGGTCACTCGGGTACTTGTGATCCGGAGACGGGCATCTGTTTCGACTGTGAGCACAACACGTTCGGCGATCACTGCGAGTACTGTAACGTAAGTGTTGAATACTTAACTCAATTACAATCTTACTCAATCTTTTAAATGTTGAATCCTAACAATCCTAACAATCCTAACAACTTGTTAACTCGAATCTTTCAGGAAGGATACTACGGAGATGCCACAGAGCAGAGCCCGTACGCTTGCACGATTTGCAGCTGTCCATCTCCTACCAACAATGTGGCCACATCTTGTGAAGCGTCACCATATGGAGAGATGTTGTCGTGCACTTGTAAACCTGGATACTCTGGAGAGACTTGTGAACGGTGAGTGCCGGAGCTCAGCTCAAAACGGTTCATCTAACAGCTATTGTCGGTTCTATAAATGGCTTATTTCCTATCTGATTTACTCTACTTTTGCCGATTATACCAATTTGCTTATTGAATTGTGTTGCAGATAAAGAGCGAATTCAATACACTAAACAAAACAGTAGCTACAGTACCTACAGTGAGCCACCCTTGCTTTACAGTAGCTCTGCAATGCCTTTTTATACTTTTTATAGTTAATTTACCCCACTACTCCTCACAGTACTCTTTCAAAACCTCAAATAACCTTATACAGGGCTCTTTACTTCCTTTACAGGGCTTTTTACTTCCTTTACAAAGCTTTTTACTTCCTTTACAGGGCTCTTTACTTCCTTTACAGGGCTCTTTACTTCCTTTACAGGGCTCTTTACTTCCTTTACAGAGCTTTTTACTTCCTTTACAGGGCCCTTTACTTCCTTTACAGCGCTCTTTACTTCTTTTACAGGGCTTTTTGCTTCCTTTACAGGGCTGTTTACTTTCATCGTACAAATAGAAGATTCCATCTTTACTCCTCCTCTTTACTTTAAAGCATACATGATCACTTTTTAGCTGCGACAGTGGCTTCTATGGAGAGCCGATGATCGACGGGGGAATCTGTCAACAATGTGATTGCAATGGGAACAACAATTTGACTGATCCGAGATCCTGCCATCCGTCAACTGGTCAGTAAATCATTTAGAACCATTAAATTAAACCATTAAACCATTAAACCATTAAACCATTAAACCATTAAACCATTAAACCAAGCATTAAATCATTGAATGCCAAGACTTGTATCTTGTTTGCTTTCAGGTGATTGCTATATGTGCCAAAAACACACGAGTGGTCGACGATGCGAGTGGTGCGATCAATGGTGAGTTTGCCTTGTTCTTGTTCTCGAATATCACGATTCTATATTAGAAATTTGATGATAAAAAAACCATTTCCAGGTACTTTGGCGATGCTGTCGTTGCAAAGAATTGCGCTGAATGCTCGTGTGATCGCTGTGGAGCCGATCATTGTGAGAACAAGAACGGCACGTGTCAATGCAAATTGAATGTCGAGGGAGAGAATTGTGATCGATGTGCGGCTGATCATTGGGGATTCTCGACTTGCCAAGTGAGTTCTCGAGCTGAGTAAGTGTCGAATTTAGTTTGAACTTCAACTTATTCAAAGGAAATCTGACATTTACTGCATGCAACTCTACGTTTAGGACTCTAATAGGGTTATCAGAAATTAAAGGAACGCCCGGCCCTTTTGCTATTGGTAATCCAACTTTGAGCTGAAATATCTTGGTGTTGAGCTGTCCAATTTTAATCTTCTTGATATCATTGGATGCGCCAAGTCTTTCTCTATCGATTGGCACAAAAATTATTGAAATTGGACAGCCAAAGAGGGCGGGGCGTTCCTTTTATACGAGCCCCGCCCCTTTGCCATTAGCAATGTAACTTCGAGATCAAATATCTGGGTGTTGGACTGTCCAATCTAAATAATTTTTGTATCAATCGACAGAGAAAGACTTGGCGCATCTAATGATATCAAGAATACTGAATTGGACAACCCAACACCAAGATATTTGAGCTCAAAGTTGGGTTGCTAATGGCAAAGGGGGCGAGGCGCGTATCAAATGTCCCACAATCTTCTAATAGTGAATCTTTTAGCTCAAATTGCTATTCGACTTGAGATTGCTGGAAATTATGACTTCATTTTGAAACTTTTCTCTTCAGGGTTGTCGCCAGTGTCACTGCGGCTTGGCCTCATCATCTTCTCAATGCCACGACGAGACCGGTCAATGCGCTTGTCTTCCCGGAGCTGCTGGAACTCGCTGTGAAGTTTGTCAGAATGGATATTGGAACTACGGACAAAACGGATGCCAGAGTGGGTTTTATGAGTTTTTAAAGCCATGAGCCTTATACCCATGAGCCTTATACCCATGACCCTTATACCCATAAGCCTTATACCCATGAGCCTCACACCCATGAGCCTTATACCCGTGAGTCTTATACCCATGAGCCTTATACCCATAAGCTTTTAAAGCTCAAATTGAACACTTTGATCTTCAGAATGTGATTGTGAAGCCGATCTCTCAATGGGCACAGTGTGTGATGTGAGGACGGGACAATGCCATTGTCAAGAAGGAGCCACTGGTCCTCGATGTGATCAATGCTTGCCGAGTTATCTCCGAATTCCGACTCATGGATGCAGAAGGTGCGGCTACTCTAAAACATTTCCCAGTTCCCGTAACTTGGTCTAAATCTTTAACTACAAGGCTTAACCTTTATAGAACTATTACAGTAACTTTTATGGCTATGGTAGAAACTATTTGGGTTGCTGTAACGCTAATTGCGTTAGGCTTACGGTTTCAGTGACTAAAAAACAATTTTTGATGATTTACCGTTTCTTTAGATGTGACGAATGTGTGCACTCTCTTTCATCCGATGTTGATCATCTTGGTTTCTCAATTTTTGCCCTTGATGGCGCTATTGGAAACATCTCAGCGGCTACTGTAGCTGGAGCAAGACTCAGCCGATCGAACAAGACTTTAAACAATATCCAAGAAGTGAGACTTTTTTTGAGGTTTTCGATTTTCATGGATTTCTTACCAGGTTGCCACCAAGATCAACAACTTCAACAACGAGGATTATGACGGTTTCTTGGGAAAAGCGAAGACGGTAACGTCGAATGTCACCGCGTTGGGCAGCTCAGCCAACAGGACTGCACAAGTAAGTTCGAACTAAGGTTGAGTTTTTATGTTTCAAAATACCATAAGACAAAAGACCGTCCTTTCGACCGTGGCAAGCCAAAATGCAATCAATGCAAGCCAAAAAAGCCAACTTTGGTCAATTTGTGGCTTTCAAACCTTCTTCAAAAGCTTTAAAACCATGAAAAGCAAGGCCAGGTCAAGCGAAAGCCAGGATATTTGGAGTTGGCCTGGTTTGGCCTAGATTTTTGATTCTAAGGGCAACCCTGGTACTCTAGAACGGCTAGGGTACCAGCAGAAGCGGATTTCAGAAGCAGATTTCTAATTCTTCTGTTAATATAAACTTCTGAGTGAAACAACTTCTGAGTTTGTTCAAAACAAAACTTCAATTTCAGCTCTTGAAAGACAACGCAGCTCGCGTGAAGAACTTGACCACAAAAGCGGAAACATTGAGAAACGATATTCGGGATCGAAGCGGTGTCGCGTCATTTGTTGTCGATGAGATGAAAACCCTTGCCAATAGTGTTGGATCCGGAGCGAAAGCGCTGGAAATCAAGCCGGAATGGCTGACCGAGGCACAGCAGACATTGGATACTCTCAAGAATGTCATGTGAGTGATTGGGAATTGGATTTTGCTTTTGAGAAGCGATTTGAAAGCTTTTGAGAAGCGATTTGAAAGCTTTTGAGAAGTGATTTTAAATTTTAAACTAAATTCTAGTGCTCAACGACCAGAGAAACTCGAAGAGGTACAAAATCGTTTAAAGACATTGAACAAGGGATTGGAAGAGTTCACAAAGAAGAATGATTTGATCAAGGTAATTTTAAGCCAAGAAAATATAAATTATACGAGAAATATGAAAATATTTTGATGTATAATATTTATTATATACCCAGATACTCAATTGATTGTTGGGGGAATGTTAAAGACTTTTCCCAATTGATGGTAAACCCTAGTGAAATCAGCGTTTGTGAGTTCAAGTTCAAATCATGGATCGCTTCGTCTCTAGACGCGGCAGCTATGAGGCTATCATCCAGATAGACTACGCATCTGACTCCCTGACTTCTCAAATAGTTGATGGATACTTTCATCAGCTTGGTGAATACTCGCGGGCTGTCGTTTAACCCAAATGGGAGTACTGTGAACCTGTACGCCTTGGCTCCCACCTTGAACGCTAAGTAGGGGGTGTGCTCTTCGCAGATGGGTACGTGAAAGTATGCATCCTTCAAGTCTGGTTTCAGCAGGAAATCTCCTGAGCGAACTACCTCGCTTATTGATCGGACTGTATCCATTTTAAAATGGGTGTGTCGTAGTCGCTTTTTTAAAGGCTTCAGATTAATAATTGGCCTTAGCGACCCGTCTGACTTGGGGACCGTAAAAATCCGAGAAAGGAAGATCGGTTCACCAATTTTGCATTCTACTATTGCGCAATTGTTGAGCTTTTAAGCTTGTGTAGTATAATTGATCTTATTGAACTATTGAATTATTGAATTATTGAACTATTGAACTATTTTTGAATGAATATCATTGTTTTAACTGTTTTAACTGTTTTTTTTTTTAGAAACGCTACGAGTCTGGCCTGAAAAACATCACTGATGTGCAAGACTACGTGAAAGCGGCCGAAGCCGAGCTGGCAAAAACCGGGAAATTGATCCGAGACGCGAATCAGGTTTGTAAAGAAAGAAATAGCTTAATGAGATTAGCTTGCTGAAATTTAGAAAAGCAAAGACTTGTCCCTTTTCCATTTCGAATCACTCGGCTCGGGAATTGTTGCCGATTCAGATTTGGCAAGAAATGGACGAAAGAAAGTTGACGAGTTGACAAATGAGGCTGATGAGGAGATTGTCAAAGTTGGGGTACGGCCAAGAGCAATTAGAGATCAATTTTACATTATTTCATTATAGGATTTAAACGAAAACATCAAGGAATCGATCGCTAAATTGAAGACAGCGAAAACGAGCGTTGCTGATTTGAAGAATCAAATTGGAGTTGGAAGAGTGAAAAGGGATGGAGATGAAGATTTGAGGGTACTGTAGTCGAGTCAACCTTTAGTAGAGAAGTTTTTGACTTGATCGAATATAAAATCTCGTTGATTTACTGTATGGGACTTAAAAAAAGGTACTGTAGGAGCCGGTAATCGATCCAATTTTTAGTAAAGATCAAAGTTTGCATAGTTGTTTCTTTAACGAGTCGAAAATTGACTATAGTTTGTACTGTAGTCTGTCTAAATTTTGTAGAATACTGTAGGAAAAGTCATTTTCTAGAATGGATTCAAATTTCAGCAAAAAGCCCGCAATCACTCGAACTCCTTGAAGCAAAGAGCCGGCCAGTTGGATGCAAAATTCGAATTCTCACGAAAATCTTCTCATTACGCTGTTCAAGCTGCTGGAGTGCACGATAAAATCTCTGACTCATTAAAGGTAGAGAATTTCTTAAAGGATAAGTCCTTAGAGTACTGTGGGAAAGCCTGGAAAGTCAATTTAGAATCGATTAAGATCGAAGATCGAAGATAGAATCGATTAAGATCAAAATTTCTTGCATAAGCCTTGATGAGTACAGTCAAAGAGATCGATTACGGTCTCAAATTTGGGTAATTGAACCGGGCAATTGAACCGGCCAATCCAGTACTCAATCCTAAGAGTGTATCCTATCAAAATATTGTAACAAGTTCGATAAATTTCAGAACGCATCCGCCATCTCATCAGATATCCTTCTAGCTTTGGACAATCACAATCTTCAGAATATGGTTTGTGCAAAAAATCGATTACTTTAATTTGAGCGTAATTAGAGTGCAATTTGAGCATAATTCGAGCGCAATTCGAGCGTAATTTGATCAATTTCTAGAAAACCGACGTCTCAACGGCTAATGACAAATCAAAAGAGTTGACTACAAAAACGGGAAATCTGAAAAATGAGGAACTTGGCAAATTGGAGACGGAAACAAAACAGGCTGAACAAAAAACGAATGCGGTCAAGGATCAAATCAATGACTTGAAGAAAAGGAGACAGAATGTGGCTGATGTGGGGTTTTTTTTAATGGATTTCTGGATTTCAAAATCTTTCAGACGATCGCCAAGCCAGTTTATGACAAGGATCGACTCGAGGATGTGCATAAAAAAGTCGAGGGATTCGCTGAGAAACACCAGGAGTTGATGAGTGAATTGGAGGCGAATCGGGAAGAGGTAAAAGGATACTACAGGGTGTTCAATAAATACCCGGACTCAGTATTTTAACTGTAACTCAGCACTCAGATTTGCAATCATCCCACGCTTTTTTAAATAGTGAATTTCAATATTTTTCTACCTAGATTTGACAAAAAAACTTCTGCATTTTTATAGAAGCTCAAAGTTGGCAGTCAGGAGTTGTTGCAGTCAGCATTTGAATCCTAGAAAGCAGAAAAATACTTAAATGTTCTATTAAAACAAAGCGTGAGATGATTGCATATCTGAGTGCTGAGTTACACTTAAAATACCGAGTTCGGGTAATTATTGAACAAGTGTTACAAGTGTAAGACTGGCTGTTAGAGCGTTCTAATAGGATTACCAAAGAGACGAACTGGCTTGAACTAGGCATGTTCTAAGACCGATTTCCAAAGCCACACCAATTAAATTGGCTTCAAACCTGGCCAGATTTGACTCATAAACCTGATGAACCAGATACTGGCACAAAATATAAGAATGGTCAAGTCAAGAAGCCAGTTCTGACCTGGCTTCTCACGAGTTCTGACCAGTCAGTTCTGACCAACCAGTTCTGACCAACCAGTTCTGACCAACCAGTTCTGACCAACCAGTTCTGACCAGTCAGTTCTGACCAGTCAGTTCTGGCCTGGCCAGGATTATCTTGTAGTCTGGAACCAGGATTACAGAAATACCTGGGTGCTTGGCTTTGGCCTGTCTTACAGTTTAGAGTCTGCTTGAACTCCGATAGTAATAAAGAAGTGAAGAAGGCAAGAAGAAGCAGCTTTCCGGAGAGGGGATTGAACCCTCGATCTTTTGCTTGCTCTTCTCTAACCACTGAGCTATCTGGTACCTTAACTTTCCAAGAGAAAGAGGGAAAGACAAGGAGGAAGAAGAAAGAAAGCGAGAAAGAAAGAAAGAAAGAAAGAAAGAAATAAGGCAACTTACGCACTTGTAGTCAGTCTGTAAAACTTGAAAGTGTCAAAGTAACATCTAAATTTCTCTTTCAGCTGAAGAAAAACTCGGAATCCGCCGAGTCGGCCATTCAAGAGTACACGAAAGCGAAACAAGGAATCAAAGTCATTCACAAGAACATCGGAGATGTAAGTTTCAAAGAAATTTCTTTAATTTTATCGATTTTTAAATGAAATTCCTCTTTTTAGCTCAAAGAACTCATCCCCGAGGTGTCAAAAAAATTCGACGCTGCTTTGGAAGCGCAAAAGGCGATTCAACAGAAAATCGAGGCGGTTCGCGAGAAAGTGCACACAATTAAAGGTTGATTACAAAGAGTTTTCAAATTTTTATGAAATCCAGTGCACTAGAAACGATAGGTTTCCATTCCTGAGCACAAAGTACACTCAAACGCCGTCGTTTTTAGAGAAAATCGCCGTCGCTCGTGATGCAGCCAATCGTATTAAACTTGGAGCCCACTTTGAGCAGGTATTTTCTTGGATAATCTAAATGGAATTTCTTTTTAATGAAACCATACGCTTAGTGATTTATATGACTTCTAAATTGTCAAATTTTCCGATTCAGGGCAGCTCTCTCGACTTGAATTTGCCTCATCGTGTCACTCGATCGGCCGCCTATTCGGATATCTCGTTTTACTTCAGAACATCGCAAGAACACGGTAAAACATATTCGTGTCTCAAATAGGTATAAAAGATAAGGAAAAACCTACTTACCGTAAATATTCTAATAGAAGAAGCCCTATAGGAGCGTCGCGTCTAAGTTTACTCTCAAACAAACGCTCATATCTCAACACCAGTACGTTTGTTTCTGTGCAATTGGATATCAAATTAAAATAGAAAGATAGGGGAATTTTTTGAGCTATAACATATATTTTTAGCATTAGCTAGCGCTTAGAACAAAATGATTGAAAAGTGTCAAAAAAAGCCGATTTTTCATCATTTTTCAATCCTTTTGTTCTAAGCACTAGTTAATGCTAAAAATATGTGTTATATATCAAAAAATTCCCCTATCTTTCTATTTTAATTTGATATCCAAGTACACAGAAACAAATGTTTTGGCGCCGAGATATGAGCGGTTCTTTGAGTGTAAACTTAGAGACTATGCGATGCTCCTATAGGGGGTGCTTCTATTAGAGTTTTTACGTTATATAACATTTCTACACGGTTAGGTATCAAAGTAAAGTAGAAAAGGTGGATGATTTTTTGAGAATATAACACATGATTGAAGAAGAACAAAACAAAATGTTGAAGAACAAAATGATTGAAAAGTGTCAAAAAAAGCCGATTTTTCATCATTTTTCAATCCTTTTGTTCTAAGCACTAGTTAATGCTAAAATTATGTGTTATAGCTCAAAAAATTCCCCTATCTTTCTATTTTAATTTGATATTCAAGTGCACAGAAACAAACGTACTAGTGTCGAGATATGAGCGTTTGTTTGAGAGTAAACTTAGACGCGACGCTCCCTTAGGGGATCTTCTATCAGAATATTTACCGTAGCTTGCATAATCGTAGATACAAATTGCATATTAAATATTAGACAGATATTAGACGGAGCAAAATGACATATTTGGACATTTAGACAATTCTCAAGGGTCCAGCACTTTGTTTTAACACAATTTTCTCATTCTAACTATAAGAAAGCACTTAAAATTAGATTTTTAGTACTCTAATCTTTCCACTTTCTAGGTATTCCACTCTTTTTCGGAAACGAAGAGGGTTCAGCTGGTACCCGAGCTGTTCCAACTGATGACTACATTGCTGTCGAGATCGAGCATAAACGACCGAAAATCTCGATGAATCTTGGAGATGGACCAACTGTTGCACTGCTTGAACAGTCTGTTTTAAAGAGTTTTCTAAATATTCTATAATACTTAATCCGTAACAATTATTATATTCAAAATCATTCTCAGATCCGTCAACGACAATCAATGGCGAAAGCTGCACATCGAGCGAATCGGAAAAACCGTCACCGTGACGCTGTACGAGCCAGAATCCGAGAAATTCCATGTAAGAATTGCTATTGTTTCTGAACCTCAGTTTGCCTTCATTTCTTTTGAAAAAAATACTTAAACTATGATTTTCAGGAAAAGAAGACCGTTCATGCGCAAGGGAACAAATCTGTGCTGAATTTGCATCAAACAATCAGTCGTCTCTTCGTTGGTGGAATCCCAGCAAGGAGCAGGGTAATTTTTAAGAATCTAGTTAAGTTGAAATCAAAAAATAGTTCAGGGTTTGTACTTTGTGCTTAAAAATGTAAACAAAACCCTCCTAGCGCACGCATTTTTTCGCAAGAATACCCTAAAAACTCAAATAGAACTTAGGAGCGTCGCGTAGTCTAACAAGGAAAGGTCAACTGGTCCGATCAAATAGTTGACCCGGTCAAATGCCTATACCATTCGACGCAGAATTTTATGCTGATTCCGAATATGTATTCCGTTTTTGCTAAATGGCAATCTGCCAGGAGCTATAAGCGTCTAAAGTTTATTAGGACTCAGAAAATGTGGCCATTTGGGTTATAATGACCTCATTGCGAGGTCATTAATCATAATGTGCAGCCATGGTCGAATAGTACAGCGTTCTTTTCCAAAGCGAGACATCACTAGTTCGATCCCCAGTTTGGATTTTGGTTTTGCTTTTTCCGACTTATGTTCTGACTTATGTTCTTTGTGTTATATCTTAAAAATCACTCATCCTTTCTACTTTAATTTGATATCCAAGCGCGCAGAAAGAAACATACTGATCTCGAGATATGAGCGTTTGTTTGAGAGACTACGCGACGCTCTGATGGGGGGCCGTTTCACTAAATTTTTTACCGTAACTTGTTATTGAATCGTTGCCCTAGGTGGCTGAAGAGTTAAGCGCACCAGAAAGGATGTGTTTTCATGTTCGATTTACTCGCTCGACACCAGTACGTTTGTTTTTAAGTGTTTAGGTATTAAATTAAAGTAGAAAGATAGGGGAATTGTTTGAGCTATAACACATACTTTTAGCATTAACTAGTGCTTAGAAAAAAAATGATTGAAAAGTGGCAAAAAAGCCGATTTTTCATCATTTTTCAATCATTCTGTTCTAAGCGCTAGTTAATGCCAAAAATATGTATTATATATCAAAAAATCACCCATCCTCTCTACTTTAATTTGATATCCAAGCGCGCAGAAAGAAACGTACTGATCTCGAGATATGAGCGTTTGTTTGAGAGACTACGCGACGCTCTGATAGGGGGCCGTTTCACTAAATTTTTTACAGTAACTTGTTATTGAATCGTTGCCCTAGGTGGCTGAAGAGTTAAGTGCACCAGAAAGGATGTGTTTTCATGTTCGATTTACGTATAAAAGTTAGAATTTTCAGGTGACTCGTGACATTCGAAACCGAGACTTTGTCGGCGATGTTGAGGGACTTCAAATGCACGGAGTACCCGTCGGTCTTTGGAATGCCCGACAAGGCGGTGTGGTGAATGTGGTTGGCACGGAAAGGCGATCACTTCAACAAGTCGATTTCGACACGAGTAGAGATGGTGAGAGTTGAGGGGAAAGTCGAGCTTTAGTCATTCAAATCGTTTAGGTCTTTCATTGGACGGTGAAGGCTTTATCACGTACAAGATCGGTGTTTGGAATCCCCGTCAAAAGACTCAATTCCGTCTCTCGTTCCTCACATTTTCACCCGAAGGATTATTGTTCTTCATTGGATTAGAGGTGAGTAGATTGAACAGTCTCAACAGTCAAAATCAAGATCAATTCCATTTAAACAACGTTTCCTTCAAAATCATGAGTCATTACAAGCGATTTCAGCGCGATTTTCTCGCTCTCGAACTCCATGATGGAAACGTGAAACTCTCGATCGATTTGGGCACTGGAGTTGGTGCGTTTGAGTCAAATGGAGCCAAGTACAATGACGGAAAATGGCATACGGTTGTCATTCATCGAGTCGAGAAACACGTGGTTGTCGAAGTTGATGGAAATAAGGTAAAAGTTATTTTGAGAATTATTGGGTTGGGGAGGATGAGTCGGCGCCGAAATTTAAAGAAACTTTTTGCACCCATAAAACCTTCTTTAAATACACGTTTTGTTTCATCAAAATGGTCCACTATTTCTTTACAAAATGGCGTTTGAGAGATTCCACAAAGCTTTTCTTTTTTGGGATTTTATGGATTCCCAAACACAGCTAATCAAAATGACAAAAAGTCCGACTCATTGCTTGAACAGTTTCTTCCACATAAACCTCCTTTGGTGTTTATATAAAAAAGATAGAACACACTCAATTACATAAGTTACCAAATTTTCAGGAAGATCCCTCCAACCGTTTACTCTAGATGACAGTTTATCGATTTTGTGAAAAAATGATCCTTTGTTGAGTTGAGGCGCTGTTTGAGTTCTCTTTTAAATATTATTTTGTGGAGAATTAGTTACCCTTCTACGGATATCAAACGCATATCATTTGACAAAGTCTGCTATAAGTTTTAGAAATTTCTTTGATTTTCGGCGCCGACTCATTCTCCCCAACCCAATATTTGAACAGAGATTTATTTGAATTTTTCACTGAACAGCACCTAAAAGTCTGCAAAGTTTCGATTTAAAATTTAATTCAGATTGCTGAGGGAGATGCTCCAGGAGACATGACCGAATTGTCGACCTCTGACTATTTCTATTTGGGTGGAGTGCCCGAGGGAGTGAACCTTCGTTCGCCCGTTGATACGATCAAAGGATGTATTCGAGTGGGTTTGCTAGAGTTCAAGAAATTTACATAAAGTGTTACTTGTACTTCTTGATCTTCTTGATAAAGGTCTTCTTGATCTTTAATTAATCTTGAAATTCAATTCCTAAACTTCAATTAATCTTAAAAACACATTTTAGGAAGTTCAACTCGACGGAGTCACCGTCAATCTGCAGACAGCTCATGAGAGCAAAGGAGTTCGAAACGCTTGTACAGCTAGTGTTGTGAGAGAGGTGAGATAACGAAATTGAAGGCTTGCAAATATCTAGAAAACTAGAAAACTAGAAAATCGATCTTCACTAGAGAGAAAATCGTTCATTAGACAACTAGACAATTCCCAAGTACCTTTATAAACAACTGACTCACTGTTCCCCCGATACGAAAGCATTTTCTAACCTGTAGGACCTGGAATTTTGTGAAGACTTGCTGAATAATGTTTTTTAGATCTCAATTCTCTCCGATCGTTCTCAAGCCTCATTCAGCAATGTTGTTCTCTCGGATGAAGTCGAAGTGACCCTTCGATTTAAGAGTCAAGAACCAACTGGAACCCTTCTCACCATCGCCACAGAAGATGATGTAAGTTTTCTATCAATTATTGAGTGCGAACTTTAGTGGAATTCGAAAAAAACAAGTTTTAGCTTGCACTTGTTTCGATCGGATTTGAGAATGGAGTGTTGAATGTGGCGGCAAATGGAAAAGAGAAGGTAGGACTGAATTTTCAGGTTCTAAACGATTATCTAACTACATTTACTTGGAGTATTGTCATAGGAAAAGCTACAGTAGGGTTTAGGATGTACATACAGTAGACAATAGACTACAGTACATATAGTAGACTTTAGGATTTACAGATCTGTCTTACTTTCTGTGTGTTAAGACAGGGTCGTGTTTCAAATTCAACCAACAAGGGAATGACACCAGCTCGAAGTTGAGAATCGCTTCGTGCATCTTATAGATCTTATAGATCATCTTGTAGATCTTATAGATCATCTTGTAGATCTTATAGATGATGTAGATGTTATAGATCATCTTGTAGATCTTATAGATCATCTTGTAGATCTTGTAGATCTTATAGATCATCTTGTATATCTTGTAGATCATCTTGTAGATCTTGTAGATCTTATAGATCATCTTGTATATCTTGTAGATCTTATAGATCATCTTATAGCAGTGCATCTTATAGAATCGGCTATGCTGATTCTGTATCTGTAAAAATTAACTGCAAACGCTCACTCAATCACAGGGAATCTGGCATCGAAAATTGTCTTAAATCTCCGACTCTTTATGGGGCAGATATAACAGTTATAACGAACGCAGATGTAACGAACAAAGATAGAATACCTTTGGTGGTCTAGTGGGTAGTGTGCCAGCCTACTGGACTGGCAAAGTCTTCTAGCTTTGGTTCGAGTCCCAAGCTTTGGTTCGAGTCTCAAGCTTTGGTGGTCTAGTGGGTAGTGTGCTAGCCTACTGGTCTGATAAAGTCATCTAGCTTTGGTTCGAGTCCCAAGCTTTGGTTCGAGTCTCAAGCTTTGGTGGTCTAGTGGGTAGTGTGCTAGCCTACTGGTCTGATAAAGTCATCTAGCTTTGGTTCGAGTCCCAAACTTCTTTTGCATTTTTGAAAAATCATTTATAATGGGTTTGCAATTGATTTTTTTAACTTTATATCCCTAGCTCCGTATTTACTTATTTACAAACTTCGAGCTGGTGTCATTCCCTTGTAAGCAGTTTCGAATTCTTTAGAAAACAAAAGCTAGCATACTAGACATGGGAAAATTCCAACCTGAACCTAATTCCACCATCGTTTTCTCAGCCGTCACTTTGCCGATTGCTCTGTGATTTTGTTTACAAATAGAAATTGGCATTCTTTGCTGGTAGACGAAATTTCAGAGTAATCGGCCAAAAGATGGGTGAGAAAACGAAGGTGGAATTAGGTTCGTGTTGGAATTTCCCCATGTTTATCGCATACTATATATAGGAAATCCAATACTATAGTACTTGTCTGTTGCAATGTTGTTAAATTCAGGTAAACGTTGAACTCGCCAGTGCATCGGATGGTCAATGGCATTTCATCTCGGTTCGACGCGACAAAAACGTTCTTCGCGTTGACATCGATGATCTCATTGGAAAGGAGATTCCACGAGTTTCTGGAGAAAGCGATATGGTAAGAAAAATGAATGAAATCAAGAACAAATGAAGTTTAAGTTTAAGTTAAGTTTAAAAGGATTTGGAGGGCTTTAGATGGCTAAAAAGTCTAGGTTTCTAAACAATTTTCATCAAGAAATCTCTTTCAGAAAGTCAACATCGGAAAAGAGGTATTGCGAGTGAGAAAATTTCCTTTCTTTCACTAACTTTTACATTAAAAGCTTCATTAATTTCTTTATTAAAGGGGAAAATTTTCAAATTCACATTTTTAGGCTGGCGAAAAAGGCAAAATCGTGTTCGGAAAGCAGCCGAAAGGACGTTTCATTGGATGCATTGGAGATGTCACGTACAATGGGAAATTACTTGATTTTGCCAAGGTAACAAGAACAAATGGAGTAGAAAAAGCTGTGTTTGGAGAAAAAGCTGTGTTTTACATTTTTAAGTTTCAATTTCAAAAGCATAAACAATTTTTTAGGCAAGCTCAACGGAGATCCAACGAACCGGATGCTCGCTGGCTCCCGATCAAGTCTTCATCCCAACGAATGCTCCAAATCTGCCCGGAGAAGAGGGTTTGTTAAAATAGGCTTTGCTAAAACTTTGCACAACTATTCGTTCTGTTTAATTCGTTAAATCGATTAGAGAATTGTCAAATTTCTATATGACTTAGGGGGCGCACATCGGCGCGAAATAAGGCAAAAATGCGTTTTCTATCGGATTTTTCTGGAAGTACCTTTTTTAGATGCGGTTAGATAATTGTGCTGATTCCGAATCTGAAGGAATTTTTCAAATCCCTCTGACAGAAATTTTTTAAATTTAGTTTTAGCGGTTTTTTGGTCATTTTGTATGGGAAATTTTGTGGTACCCTGCAGTTTGGAGCTCGTAACTCGACAACGAGGGTCTAGAACCAAAAAACGAAGGGATAAGTTTTATTCTAGAGACTCTTACGAACATTTTGATGCAAAAATCATCAAATTTGCTCAACTCTACAAAAAGTTATCCCAGAAACTCCCAGAAAAATCCGATAGAAAACGCATTTTCGCCCCCGATGTGGGGCGGGGTTTGTCTGGTTTTTCTTGCCAACGGCATGGAAAAGACTGGTTTTTGGAGGATACCCCCATCCTTTCAATGGGGTATCCTTTTAATGGGGTATCCTGGGATAACCTGATAATAAATGGGATAACCTGATAATCGATCACTTGTTTATGAGCCTTTGCGACCAAAATCAGTTCTACAGTTAGCTTAAAACAGAATTACAGTTGGTTTCCCTTCTATTGTTAGCTGAAAAATGTACATAACTTTTAGTAAATATTGGCCAGGCCGAGCAAGAAGCCACCGAGGGACCGGCTGGCGAAGTGGAGATCGAGGAACCTGCTACAACGAGAAGACCCAAGGTAGATTTGGTGGACAAGTCTTGAATACATTTATTCACACGAATAATGTAGCGCAAACAATGCAAAAGCCTAATGTCAACCCTAAATGTAGGCAAGAAAAAACCCATATATCTGGGAAAAGAAGCAACAATCTAGCTGGCGGGATTGAACTCTTGACCTCACGACTGATACAAGGCTCTTAGCTACAAGGCTCTTAGCTACAAGGCTCTTAGCTACAAGGCTCTTAGATACTAAATAGCATTTGCAAGGCCATGGCGACATTTGGCTATCGGATTGAGATTGGAGAAATATGTTAACAATCTTTTCAGACTGTTCGCCGTGAGGGCACTTGCATGCTTCCCAGGAACACCCTCGGCCCACAAGATGATTCGGATGGACTTCGATATGGCACTTCCCCCAACAACCGTCTTGAATTCAAGAAATACCCGGATCAATTTGATAAGAGGTAAAGCAAATGAATGATCCATAAAAATGCATTCTTGTTATCCATAAAAACTCTTGTAGTACACATCATACGTAATCCTAATTTACTAGGGATCGCTAACAGATCCAGCTCACCAAATGAAATGAGCCATCCGACGCAGAATTTTACGTTGATTCCAAATATCTGTTTCTTTTTTGCAAAACGATTCTGAATCGCGCGAATTCTCACAAAATGATTCTAGTTCTGAATGGCAAGGAGTTTTTGGTTTTGGCAATTCGAAAGGCAGTTTTTAGCCTCTCTTTATAAGGCTTACGAACGCCATGGGTAAAGTCTAGCTAGTCTAGTATGACTGTGTAGTCTAGTCTAGTAGGTGGGTTAGGATACAGAGCAGCTAATCGACGGTATGAATACCCCCATTTTTTCCTTTTCCTAACCCACTATCCACTAGACTACGCAGCCATCTTTACCCATGGCGCTCGTAAACACTTTATAGTGTCTCTCCTATCCTATGTATCACAAGTTTATAACATAATAACTTTAACAAAAATAAACATGTCTGTTGACCATCGCTGAATCCAATCTTTTTCAGCGGAATGTTCTCTTTCCAACTCCGCGCCACCGCTTCGAATGGAGTGATCCTTTTCGCTACCGATCAAAAAGATCACATTGGAATCTATCTTGTGAATGGAAAGATCAAATTCGCTTTCAATACTGGAAGTGGATTGGTTGGTTTTCGATCAGATCGTGTCAATAATATTTCATTTTCAAAGATTTTCAACTTCAACAAGATCTTTCAGGTGACTATTGCCTCAAAGACCTCAATTCTCGACGATGAATGGCACACAGTGAAAGCGTATCGAAATGGAAATGGCGGAACATTGACTGTTGATGAAGAGTTGATCGAAGTCGCATCAACTGATGTATGTGATGTTCAGGAGTTCGGTGTTTTTCGCTAGAGTCGCTAGAATCGCTAGAGCCTAGTCCAGAAGCGCCCAATCAATTTAGACTCAAAGAAAAAGATTTAGCAAAACCTTCAGGCTACATCATGGCTAGAATGAAATTTTTGAAAGAAAATTTAGGAAGAATTTAGAGGTTTTAAAGGTTTTAGACCCTTAGCCATTATCCAGGAAGCTTCTAGCTGCCGCCAATCGATTCTCCGTGTCGATTCACATAAGATGCGCGAGTTAAAAATTTGATTTAAAGCTTGTGGAGCAAGCTAGAGAGGCTCAAAATATGGTTGTCCGATTTTTTTGCGCCTCTACCCAACTTTGAGTTTCTCTAGCTCGTTCCACAAGCTTTAAATCCGGTTTTACCTCACGAATCTTATATAAATCAACACGAAGAATCGATTGGCGGCGGTTAGAAGTCTCTTGGATAATGGCTAACCTGAAAATTTTGCTGAATTTCCTGCTTTGAGTGTAAATTGATTGGAGGCTTTTGGAAGGAAGCGAAGCGAAGGAAGCGATTCTCCCAAAAACACCAAAATCCTGAATCAACTGATCAACAAAGATTGCAATCTCATGCATTTCAGGCCGCCGGCGCTTCAGAATCAGTCGACACAGTGCCTCCACTGTATTTCGGTGGTGTTCCCACGTCTCTTGCCGGCAAAGTTCGAGAAGTTGTGCCCAATATTCGCAGTGAATTCTCTGGATGTCTTCGCGAGTTGAAGCTCAATGACAAGAAGTTCGATTCGGAAGCTGAAGAGGTTCGTGATAGAGTGCGATTGATTAATAATTAGAAACTGAGCGTACAAAGCTGCTGAATACAATACTGAATTTTAATTAAAACAAGGTGATGTGCTCTGTTTCACAAAACGTCTTCACTTTTAAAAGCTTTCAAATCTAATCTTGTCTTTTTTGGTACAGAAGGGTTACGATAGTTTCTAGGATACAGTAGTTTCCAGGATACGATAGTTTTCAAAAGTTGGCACGTTTTAGAAAACGCATTAGTTGAGAGGAGAACACACTGACTTGTTTTGTACAAGAGCTTGTACACACTAACTTGTATTGTACAAGAGCTTGTACACACTAACTTGTATTGTACAAGAGCTTGTACACACTAACTTGTATTGTACAAGAGCTTGTACACACTGACTCGTATAGTACAAGAGCTTGTACACAATGACTTGGATTGTACAAGAGCTTGTAAACACTGACTTGTATTGCACAAGAGCTTGTACACACTGACTTGTATTGTACAAGAGCTTGTACAAACTGACTTGTATTGTACAAGAGCCAGTACACACTGACTTGTATTGTACAAGAGTAGTGAGTGGCAAGAATGAATCGTAAAGTAAATCCTCACTTACACATAATCCTTACTTGCATAGTTTTATCAAATCTAGGTAGTTAGCTTTTCAAATATCTTCTAAACTCAAATTCCAGCATGGAGTCGTTCCCTGTTCTCATTACCAGGAAAGTGGAATGTTCTTCGGTGATGCCGGTGGATACGCGATTGTCAACAAAGAGTTCACGGTGAGTAGTTGCAAAACTAGAGTTTTAAAAGAAATTTGGATTTTTAAGTAGAAGTTTTAAGTAGGTTTTTAAATGCAATTCTTGTCTTAATCTATTTTTCAGGTTGGCACCACTTTCTCGGCCGAATTCGAGATTCGCCCACGGACCAACAACGCCGTTCTCTTCAGCGTTGGCGTCTTGGAGTACTTGAACCTCGAGATTCTCAATGGAAAGGTAAAACTTACTAAAATTTAAGAAAATGATCGCATTTGATGATAAAAACACTGCAAAAAGTTATATTGGAGATCTGGGGCAAAGCTAGGACAAAGCTAGGACAAAGCTAGGACAAAGCTAGCATTTCGGAAGAGTTTTGAAACAGTTTTGGACTTCGAGATCCAGAAATTTATGGGGATTGATTGAAAATGTTTCATTAGACTTTAAAAAATCAATAATATAATATAATAGAATAAGAATATAAATCAAGAATATCAAGAACATCCTTATCCAAAAACCAAAAGCCAATTCCATTCCAGATCCGCTTCACCGTTGACTCCGGTCTTGGCTCCGAATCCATCAACTTTACCCCATCAGGCACAAGTGGAAACAATCTCACGCTATGTGATGGACATTGGCACAGTGTTAAGGTGAAATTTTAAATTATTAACAAAATATAGCTTTAAATTTAGGTAAACAAAAAGAAGCTTTTGATCACGGTGACCGTTGATGGACGCTCGTCGATCTTGGTGTTGAAGAAGGTCAAGAAGGGAGAACCGACGACGAAGGTGAGACAGGAAAATCCTTGAACCTTGAAGTTAGATAAATGTTTACTGGAACAAGAAAGAAAAAGCAAAAAAGAAAAATGGACAAGTACAAGAAAAATGGATAAGCTTTTCAGGATCCGGTCTATGTTGGTGGAGTGCCCGATGGGGCCGTGAACAAAGGATTGAAGACAACGGGTGAGAATAGAGCCTGAGTATCACACACTCATTAAAAAGCATAACCGGTAGTTGAAACTAGAACTGTTTACTGAAAGATAATATAGATAATAATCAAGTAGATAATAAAAAATAGTCGGATCCATCAGAAATTCGATCGAACAAAATTTTCGATCGCATTTTAATGAGATAAAAAAGGTAGCGGGCTATTAGGTTGCCCGGAAAGTCTTGTCCGCTTTTTTAAAGGTTACTTTTTGAAATAGACAATGAACCAATCGATTTATGGTTTCTTTTATTAGAAAGTTCTTTTATTTATTTACAAATTCCCCTTGAAGAAATTCTGAAAAGCTCGCGTTATTTCATTTTTTTAAAATTGTCAAGTCGAGCAGTCAAAAGCGAAGTCAAACGAAGCAAAATCAAAGTCAAAAAGCAGTCTAAAAGCAGTCATATTATCAATTCAAAAGTTCGAATGCTAATAAATGCTAATAAATTTTTGAACATTTTCATCTCCAGACAACTACGTCGGTTGCCTCCGCGTTGTTCACTTTGGCGCCAAGAAGGAGAAAGTTCGCGTGCGAATGAGGAAACAAATCCCAACCAGGGACATTGAGGTAATAGATTTGAAAGTTTGAATGCTCCAGGAGTAATTCAAAAGTTAATTCAACAATTCAATAATTCAAAAGGAAATATTCAAAAGGATTTGTTTGTTTTGTTCATTTGTTTTTCTAAACCTCGAAACTTTCAGGTGTTCGGCGATGTGAACAAGGTCGAGTGCCCCGTTAACTAAAATCAATTTTTTCTTTAATTACCCAATTATTTTCTATTCTCGTTTAAGCTTTAAATCTTTGCTTTAATCATTTTTTGTTTCTTTGTGATTTGATAATCATTTTATTCTGTATAAAGTGTCTTGCCAAACTTTAGCCAAAACGCAGTCCATGATTTAGACATAAACCACCAATAATCACTACACAGATTGACTAAATGAGCAAGCCAGCAATAGCTGCACTCTCAGTAGCTTCACATTGAATTCACAAGGCTTTATTTATAAAAAACAATCATCAATTCTCACGTGGAATGCTTAAAAAAAGGTAGAAATTTAAAGAAATCAAGAGAAATAACTGAAAAAAAAAAAAAGGTTTGAAAGTTTGAGACCTGTGCATGGGTTCTAAGGAAGGGGTTTTATAGCCCAAAAAAGGTTAGAGTAAGTAGAGCTTTTCTAGGGAAAACAGAGCAACAGAGCAAATATGTGAAGACAGAAAAATCTACAGAAAAATTGACAGAAAAATGATGAAAATTCTCTCAAAATGGATATGATTTTCACAACGAAATTTTAGCAAATTCATGATTCATGGAAATTTATGAAAAATTGGAAATTTGAGGTCATGGGGGAAAATTCAAATCCTTAAATTTACCTTGAGAAGAGAGCGCAAAAATTCGGAAGAAATGCACCAAAGAAAAGCAATTTCTCATGAAAAGAAAGCAAATTTGCATTGGACAAACCCTTCAGATATTGGATATTCAGCTTATGAACTAGATTTGACTAGAGGATTGGTAAAATTGAGGGAAATTTCTATAAAAGTTGCTATAAAAGTTGCTATAAAAAGTTGATAATTTGGAAAAGCTTACTGTAATCTTTCCTTCAGATTTTCTTGATTTGGTTTGATTCTTGATTTGATTTGATTCTTGATTTGATTCACTGGATTTTTGATGAGAAACAGTTTGATCACAGTTTGATTTCTCATCATTCGATAAGGAATCAAATTGTGATCAAATTGTGATCAAATTGTGATCAAATTGTGATCAAATTATGACTTAAATGGGATAAAAATAAAGTAGAACTGGAGAAAACTGAAGGAAAGAGACGATAGGCTTACAAACTGGTCACTTTTTAGGAAAGAAATTGCTTAGGAAGGGTCCAAAAAGATCCAAAAAGATCCAAAAAGCTCCAAAAAGGTCCAAAAAGATCCAAAAAGCTCCAAAAAGATCCAAAAAGGTTTATAGGCCAAAAAAGTTAGAGTAAGTAGGGCTGGATTGAAACTTTTCTAGGGAAAACAGAGCAAATATGTGAAGAGAAATGATAAGAAAACGGGAAATTGGAAATTTCGAGCAGAAATGCTCGTTTAACTCAATCTTATTCTTTAAATGAATAGATTTTTGAGCTTTCTCACGGTGAATTGCTGTGTGCTTTGTGCTCAAAAACGCACACTTTCTAGAAGACTGAAACATCAGCTTTTCTCGCAAAATCGAATGACTTTTGTGTGAAATTTGAAGAATTCAGTGCACTAGAAAGGGTGTATTTTCAAAGTTTTGAGAGAAAGTCGTTTATTTTGTGCTCAGTTTTTCAAAACACACCCTTTCTGGTGCATTGAATTGCAAGAAACTGCACCTTTCTGGTGCAGTTTCTTGCAGAAATCGAATCTTCATCAAATCTTCATCAAATCTCCATTAAATCTTTCTTCCAAGAATCTCCATTTTCTTGTAAGAACAGTAAGAAACAAGAAGAATTCAGAATACCAGAAAGGGCCCGTTTTCAAAAGCACAAAGCACACCGTGAAGCTTTGCAAACGCGCTGGATCTGGTGCAATGGATCATTCAAAAGAGTGATGACAATTTAGACAATGGAAATTTAGACAATCAAAATTTAGACAATCGAAATAATAAAAGAAATACCCAATGTTAAAATGGAAAGAAATTGAATTCGTTACAGGATTACGGTATTTAAATAATTTAAAAAGATTATACTATAGCTTAAATCTCATCTTAAGCATAATATCCAGCATATCGGACTTCTCGAGAGGCTCTGCAGAGAATGCACGAGAAGAAAAGTGACGCGATTTGCACGGCGACGAGAATGAAAGCGATCACGACGATCGTTTCACCCGATTCCTCGATCTCGCGTTGCAAAACGTCGAAGCAATCGCTCTGGAAGGAAATTATTGAAATACTTTACATAATTACAAATCTTTTATTTCAATAAAATCTTGAATCTTCAAGTAAATGGTCCTTGAAATTTGGTAAAGTTCAAGTTCTCAACCAAGCTAAAGTCTTGGTTGAATTTCCCGTTATAACAATTCAAAAGGCAGTTATAACGTAGTTAAACAGTAGTCAGCTTTCAAATAAGATTGGGATCTGTAGAATTTAAGTAATGAAACTGAAAGATTTGTTTAGGGTGCGTGAGAAGCTCTGTCTGGAGTCTGGGAAAGCTGGAGAGTGCTCCAAGAATCGTTTGTACGGCTCGAAGCAAGAAATTTAGAGAAAAACGGACTTCAGATTTGAAAAGTTTGACTATTTTTACCCTAGAAATGCTTCTTGTTTAAAAGATTTTCGATTTGAAAATCCGATTTCTTTGGATGAATTGCCCACAGACCTTGGCTTCTTTGATATTCTGGTCCTTTTGAGTGCGGCCGAAAATTTTAAGCTTAAAAATCGCGAGCTCTTAGCCAATCTGACCGTGAACGGCTAGTTTTAAAGGGAAATATTTCTTTTTTTCTTTAACATTTAAAGAAGTTGATTCTATTTCGGCTATTTCACACTTTAAAATCAATTATTATTAGAGGTGGCGACGAAAAAAAAAGAGTAAATGAGTTCCGTGAATAATCGAGCCAAAAAAAGATTTTTAAAACAAAAGATCTTTTGAAGAAAAAGCATTTTTTGGGTAAAAATAGTCAAAGATTTCAAATTTGATCTTCATTTTTCTCTATTTTATTTCATTTTGTCTAAAGAAACGACAATCTTTGGAGCTTAAACAATTTTCAGAGCTGGAGCTTCAGAGCTGGAGCTTCAGAGCTGGAGCTTCAGAGCTGGAGCTTCAGAGCTGGAGCTTCAGAGCTGGAGCGAAACTTTTCATGCGCCCTGTATTAGTATCACCCGGAATGTACTTTCAGCTTAAACTTTAGAAACGCACCTTTCCTGGCACACTTGTTTGGCAATGTTAAACTTCAGTGTGCGAGAAAAGGGGCGTTTATAAAGGTGCGGTGGTGCGTTTTACCCAAGAATGAGATTTCAGGCCAAGAATTTCTTTAAAACCTTTAAAACCGAGAATTTCTTAGTTACTAGACACTAGATAAATTAGATTAGATAAATTCCGCAAACCTTTGTCGCCAACTCTCCCGGACAAAGCCCTCCATCGACGAAGAAATGTTTCGTCGAGGCGGTGGCTCCACAACAATGGAAAACTTCTTGAATCGGCTTGAGCGCCGTTCGCAGATTCTCCTCATTACCACACTTTTCCATTACCTAAAACCCTTCACTAATGATTGTTTTTCTCAGATTTTTCCCAAATCTTGAGCTTTAAACTAACCTTTCCGAGGGAATCGACGAATTTTTCTTTGTTAACAAGCGCGAAGATTGTGGCGGCTAACTCCAAAATCGTGCAAATGACAACAATGAAGAAGAACTGAAATATATTTTGGTGTTGGTGAGGATTGATGATGAGCAAATGCTATCGATTAGTCGATTGCTGTCGATTAGTGTCGATTTCGAAATTCATAAACTCACCAGTGACAACAAGACGGGACTCTCACAGGCGGCACCGCAACATCCGAGAAAACCGACCAAAAAGAGGATGATCCCAACACCGACTAACACCCAGAGACTCGCTTGATACTGAAAAGACAGTTTGATGTTCCTAGGGTTTTCGTGCACGCTGATTCGATTGGTGATATTGAAATTGTTTATTGAAATTGCTTATCAAATAGTTTTCCTTCATTTATTTTTATTTTTAGTTCACAGAAAAGGCAATTCCATGAAATAGATCGAATCGAAATTCGTTTTCGCAAAAAAAATCTGTCAAAGTTAAGGAGCTATACGCTTCCGCTTGGGCCGGGCTTCCAAAATGCCACTGGCACGTTGCAAAAAGGGTTTTCGGGCACGCTGATTCGATTGATGATATTTTCAGAGCCTGTTTGCGACGACCAGAAGTTGCCAAAAAAGCGTTCCTAGGGTTTTCGTGCACGCTGATTCGATTGGTGATATTTTCAGAACCTGTTTTCGACTTATTTCTTCTTGTTTTTTGAATTTTATTTTTATAAACCAACAACAAATTGAAAAGTAGAGCAACAATATGCAATTAAAACAAGAGCTAAATTCTCGTTTACCCTCACCCCAATTTCCCCCATTTTCCCCCAATTTTTCCCGATTTTCTTTCTAGATCCATTACCTCTAGGGGTTTTTTTATTTGCTGAATCTGAATTTTGATGTTTCATCAGCTAAAAACTAGCTTCCTGAACTAAAAATTGAGTTGCGAACTTCATTTTGATAGAGTGACTTGGGGGGAGGGGGTTTTCCTCACAAATGGGGTGTCGCCCGCCTCCAAACTTTGCCAAATCATTTTTTTACTCAAAAAAACACAATAATAAACTGTTTTAGATCAGAATTTGAAAAAAAAAGTTGAAAAAGAATTTTTTTTGACTAAAAATCCATGTGGGGGACCACATGGATTTTTTCAAAAACAAAATTAAAAATTTCTTAATCTCAAAACAAAACAAAACTCTCTTTAATCCATCTGAGATGTCGATTTTCGTGATCTACGCATAAAATTACCCCAGAAAAACAGGTTTTGGGGACTAGAAGTGTACTTGAAAACTAAGATATGGCTGGGGAGAGTGGGTGAACTAAACTCTTACCAAAGCTAGTAATATTTTCTAGTGATCTCTTCGGAAACACCAACAACAACAAACTGTTGTTTGTTGTTGTTGTTGTTGCTTGCAAATACAACAATTTTAGGGAGTTATGCGTATTCGAAAAACTAATCGAATCAGCGTACCCGAAAACCCTATGAACGAGAGCAACGAGAGCAACGTGCCAGAAGCATTTTGGAAGCCCTCCGCCCACTTCCCGCAACCAATTCCATAGCCTCGAATAGCCTCGAAACTAGCCTCGAATAGCCTCGAAACTAGCTCTCGAATAGCCTCGAAACTAGCCTCGAATAGCCTCAAAACTAGCCTCGAATAGCCTCAAAACTAGCCTCGAAACTAGCCTCGAATTTAAGTTAGAATTTAGAAATGTACTTGAAAACTAAGATATTTTTATTTCAATTCTATCTAGAGGTTATCTAGTGAAATTATTATTTCTCTAGTTTATAGATTTCATGATTCACTGTAATCCTGTATTCCACTGTAATCTAATCTCTGAAAAGCTCTAAAAGTCTTTAAATATTGAAGCCTTCATTCTTCTTCACTCACTTTTGCAATATCATCAATGTGATGTTCTTTTCCTTGATCGATATTTCGAATGAAATCGGATAAATGTTGCGAGAAATTCTTGTCCACATTCGCCCATAGGGAGAAGCCGAAAACGAGAGCGCCGAAGATACAAATGAGGAGATTGACGAGGAAAAATAATAGCTTCACACAGCGATTCCCACAACCGTAAACCATTGCTGTGCACCTGAAATATTGAGGATTTGAAAACAAATTAAATAAATGAAGGAAACGAATGAAACAAATGAAGGAAACAAATGAAAAATTCAAAGAAAACTTTATAAAAGGCAAGTTTGGCAAGTTTGAAACGAAAGAAAATAGGAAGATTTGATTGAGAATTCCCCTAAAATTCGTCGTTTTCTCATAAACTTTTTGCCGAGTAAAGGAAATCGAGTAGATGAAAGAAAAGGAGAAAAGAAAAGAGCGAAAAGGCAATTGAAAGGCAATGAAAAAGTCTCGATTTCAAGCGAATCTTCAATGAAATAAACATTTACTTGTTTAGAAATCAATATAAGAGAAAAAAGAATCGTTGGATATAAACGATTTGATGTGTTTTTGCGGTGATTCATTTGTGACATTTTGAACAGAATTTTGGGCAAAAAAAAAGTGGAAACAAAGCGCAGAAATGTGAAGAGAAATCATAAACGATAGAAAAAAATTGTTAGATTCTTGGATGTTAAAACTATCAAGGAACTATATAGGAACTAAATAGGAACTATACAGTAACCAGATAAGAACTATAAAGGAACTGTATAGGAACTAAATAGGAACTATACAGTAACCAGATAAGAACTATAAAGGAACTGTATAGGAACTAAATAGGAACTATACATGAACCCGAAAGGAACTATATAAGAACTATATAGGAACTAAATAGGAACTATACAGTAACCAAAAAGGAACTATAAAGGAACTGAATATGAACTAAATAGGATCATTTTTATTTTTCAAGATCAATTTCGCACGAATATGTATTTAGCGGGTTTAGTTTTGAACTGTAGTCTTTTTAGCACGTCAAGCAAGTCTGACAAAGACAACAAAGAGGACAAAGATTGATCGTAGGTAAAGACAAAAAAGATTACATTTGAAAGGTTGGCTTTAAGCAAAATTAGCTCATCGTTCTTAAGATTTTCTAAAAAAAAGTTTGAAAAATGTTTTCCCAAATCAATTAGAAGTCGAAAAGTTTAGTTTTGCGAGTGTTGAGTGGGCTTATCAATTGATAGAGGTTCTGGGAAAGGGGAGGACTGATAGTAGGTCTTGTGAAAGAAGTCAGGGTACAAACTATCGTTCTTTCTCTAATGGTACACCCTAAATTGCTCGAAATCTCGAAAACCGCTTATCAGAACCTATCGATGTGGGATCGGAAAATGTAGCTGACGATCTTGTGGGGGATTAGAGTGTTGAGCTTCTGCGAAAACTTGGAGATCGTAAAATCGTCATCAACTTGGCTCACCTTGGCTCACTTGGCTCACCGGGGTGCACTACAGGGTGACCATTAAGTTACCAATGAAACCAATGAACCAATGAACCAATGAACCTTTGTCCTGGACTCTAGCGTCGGTTTCAAGAAGCTAGAGAGATTCAGAGATTTTCATGAGTATCTAGCAATTAAAACTTAACAATTAGAACAACAACAAGAACATTAACAACGATTTGAACGTGTTTGAACGCCTGGCGGCTGCATTAACCGTGGCAAACAAGCAACATTTCAGGGAAAATCATTATTGAAATCCGAAATAACTGTGATATGTAACAAAGTTTTGCTTGTACATGATTCATGACGTTTATTCAACTTAATTTCTATTCGTAGAAGCTTTTCTGAACCATCGATTCTGATGAAGTGCAAAAAAAGCTATTAAACCTAGCTTTTGACCTGCTATTAACCTGCTAAATGCAGGTTTTCGTGTATTCCTTTTGGAGAACTGAAGGAAACTTTGATTTATTTTTGTTAAAGACTTTCGTAGGAAGTTTTATATTCAAATAGTCAACGATCGCCTTATCGTCATTAGAGGAAAAAGTAAAAAAAGGCTCATCGTTTCCATTCTTATTGGTCACCCTGTAGAGGAAATACGATAACTTGAAAGTTTTAAGTGAAAAGGATAGGATAAAAACTGTAGTTATAAGAAAAGAGATAAGTGTTTCAACTAATTCTGGATCTGTAAGACAGACTGGCTCAGATAGGTGGATGCTTTTGTTATCTGTTCTTTTAGGCCAAAGTCAGCTGTAAGCTCTAGCTAATGGTAAGACTGGTTTGCCATAGAAAAATCGGTTTCGAAACATTTCTAGAAGGTCAAAAGACAATTCATTCTACAAGCTTAAGGCTATTTCAATTGCTTTGTTTAACTCACACAGTTAAATTGCCTTTTTGTGAGGTAAATTTGTGAAGCAATCTAAAAGTGTGTCCAGAAGTTAAACTTAACGTTGGCACCTGTTTTAAAAGTTTCTTGATTTGCAATATCAACTAAAGGCTAGAATTTAAGGACAAGAAATCCAGAAGAAATGGATTTTTTTTGTTGCAATACTTGAAAGTGAAAGATCGATGGAGTGAGGGTGCGAGAAAATCCCAAAAAATCTCTACTGGTATTAGAGAAAATACGGTATCTATTTTGGTTTGGATAGCTTCAAGTATCACACGATTTGGATTTGGTAAATTTTTGAGAAAACGTTTAGTTTTTTATACACAAAGTACGTGAAAACTCAAGGCTTTTAAGCCTTGAGTTTTCATGTACTTTGTGTTTCATGTATTTCATGTACAGACTACAGACTACAGACTGTTCAGTTTTCAAAAAAAAAAAAAAAATCAGTGCAACTGTACTTATTTGCTTAATGATTTGGTTTTTGATGTTTTGATGTTTTGTTTTTGATGTAGAGCTTGAAATGAGAGCATAATCATATGATAACAAATCTATTTTTGCTTCATAAAGTCATTGACTGAATATCTTGAAGTATTGTTAGAATGTATTGGGTTGGTGAATTGAAAACTGCGGGCTAATGTCATATGTGACAGTTTGAGCACTTTCTTCAAAAGAAGCCCATTTTGGTGTCAATGGAAAAGTTGTAGAGAATCAAAAATCAAGCTTATATCCTAATTTTCAGAACGATTTAAAAACTGGCTTTAAAGAAATGCGAAATTTACAAATTTTCACAAAACTTGCATTTTTAAGTGAAACTACTAAGTGTATCTTTTTGGAAATTTGGTTATAAGCCTAATTTTTGATTCTCTACAACTTTTCTATTGACACCAAAATAGGTTTCTTTTGAAGAAAGTGCTCAAACTGGGATCTCCAGGTCCATCTCCAGTCCTCGATTTTTGAGTCTCACACTTGTCTCACACACAAACCAAAATCCTACTACGAAAGAGGAATCCGCAAATTGCCTGTAAAATGGGCAGAAGTTGTCAATAATAATGGAAATTATTTGGAATGAATTTATGGTTTTATGTTGAATAAATTTTAGTTCAAAGTCCGGCAGTTTTCAATTCACCAACCCAATAACAATAAGTAAGTGTTCAAAATAGATCTTTCTAGAAAATCTTTCTAGATCTTTCTAGAAAATCTTCTTCTTCCTTTTTCGTTGAAAAATCAAAAATTCACCAATTAATCGATGATTTACTTGAAATAAAAAATGTTTATTGTTCAATTTCCCAATTTCCCAAGACTTTATTTGTCAATTTTGAAAAACTTTAATGGAATAGAACTATAAAAGTTTCAAAATTCAGATTTTCACAACTTTAAAGCTTATCAGAAAGATGTGTGTGAGACAAGTGTGAGACTCAAAAATCGAGGACTGGAGATGGACCTGGGAACCCAAGTTTGAGCACTTTCTTCAAAAGAATAAGCTTATCAATATCAGAAAAGTTGTGCTTTTGGATTTGAGATTTACACTCAGTTAGCAAAGAAATAAAACGAAAAAGCCATAAAAAGTTAAACGTAAACCCGTTTAGTTAAACATAAAATTAAACCTTAAACGTAAAACTTAAAAGTAAACTTGTCAAACTTCCTTGAAAGGCAAAAATTTGTCGAAAATGTCAAAAATGTCAAAAACAGTCAACGCGAAACGGTCAAAACATTTCACAACGATTTTTTTGGGGGAAAATTTTTATTCTCCGATTTCGATGAAGGTCGAACGATGGAAAACAAAAAAAAAAGGACTCAAATGAAAAAAAATTTCTTTGAAAAGACACAGATGTGCGGAAAAAGAAAGAAAATTGAAAAAACTGAGCAAATGAGTCACTCATTTTTGTATAGATTTCCCGTTTTTTCTTTCTAGAGGACGCGCTGAACGCCTTTTTGTGTTTGTCTGGGATTAAACGGAAAAAAGAGCATTGGCTTACGATTTGTACAAAAGAGCACGTTTTTTAGCTTTTAGCTCAGCTGCTAAGCTTTTGAAATGATACAAAAGTATTGGATGATATTTATCAGGAGTTGCAGTCGAGTTGCCGAGTTGCAGTCGAAAGTGTTGGCTAACGCTTTAGCGGTTTAGCTTGTCAGGTTTAGCTTACGGTTTACCTTGTCAGGTTTAGCTTACGGTTTAGCTTGTCAGGTTTAGCTTACGGTTTAGCTTGTCAGGTTTAGCTTACGGCTTAGCTTGTCAGGTTTAGCTTACGGTTTAGCTAAACCTGTCGTTGCGAGGCTTGTCGCTTTTTGTATATTGTGTTTGAATTTTGGAAACAAGCCCATTCTGTTCTACATTGAGAGCCGATAATCATTCATTATTGTGCCAAACAAGATTGGTTTTCATTTTGGAGACCAGAAGACACCCAAAGAATCAAATTTTGACACAGGAAACTCATAAGGGAATGACCAGCAGTGGGGTTGACCTTTTGGGATAAGCTAATTCTTTTGATCATCAATATTCATCATGGGATTTATCGAATGAGGTATGACTTATCCCAAAAGGTCACCCCCCCCCCTTCTGGTCATTCCCTTATGAGTTTCCTATGTCAAAATTTGATTCTTTGGGTGTCTTCTAGTCTCCAAAACGAAAACCAATCTTTTTTTGGCACAATAATGAATGATTATCGGCTCTCAATGTAGAACAGAACAACAACAGAACAACTAACAACCTGAACAACAACTGGAACAACAACATGGAAAATGTGACTGCATAAAAAATTGAAAAAGCTGAAGCTAAGACTGAAGCTTGTACAGAAATGAGAACGCTTTACAGTACTTTTG